TGATTTAGAAATTCTAACATTGAAAGGTAATGCTACGAGATGTTTAATTCAAGTATACAAGCTGAAACTATTTAATCGCCACATTGTATGCAGCCCTTCCCATCTGTGTATATACGTAAGTATGTACTCGAGAATAAAAATGCAAGCATTAGTAAATGCATGCATGCTAACTGCAATAGCTCACACGTGCCGAATGCTTGGAATGGTGGGAATGTTTACGATACACAAATATGATTCAAATTCGTGTCGTATAATACATCTCTAAGGGAGTGTCCATAAATCACGTGATCGATTTTTGGACAATTTTTGACCCCCTCCCCCCCCCCTTGGTGACCGGTGGTGATAATTTCGCTACCCCCCCCCACCGGTCACGTGACAGGAGATGATGCTCAAATTAAATCATGTTGTCCGGAATAACAATATTTTTTAAATCATTAATCAAATTAGAGCTACACTACACACATGTGTAAATACCTATTTAATACGCCAGTCAGACATAGGTATTTAAGTCGAATCAAATTTCTAAATATGCAAAATGAAAATCAAATTTCAAATTTATATAACGTGCGTGTGGTATGCCAAGAGAGTTTATATATAACTCTCTCATGACATTTATTAACATACATATATACAAAAGTTAAAAAAAACTTTACTCATGTCACGTGACATCTGACCATCTACCCCCCCCCCCGTGATAATTGGTGACAAATTTCAGACCCCCTCCCCCCCTCTAATCGGTCACGTGATTTATGGACGCTCCCTAAGCTGTGAACTGATTCCTTTACTAACATCCAAGAAAGCATATCTTAAACCTTTTGTCGTTCTGTTACAAATATTGTTATCCAATTTAATAATGCGTTAAGGAGACATCATTCCATTCGGTTTGTGATCAAATCTGCACAATTTTCACTTCACACTTCGTTCGTAAAATTAAGGGATAATTGCCACAAGTTTGATTTGCTCTGCTTCGAGTGAGTGCTGAACATAAATACTCATAACGAATATCTGCAAACCTATGCAAATTTTGTTAGCAAACTCGCTCAGCAGAACCACTTTGAATCATCATTAATTCTACCACCTCGAACCTTGGCTATATAATTGTGCATGGCTGGCTAGCTGTAACCGAAACCTACCATTTACTTTCCCCCTCACTTATTACATATTGCATCGTGTTTGAACGAGTGAAAGCTTTGTGATGTATATTACTCTGATCACGATAACACTTTCATTCCTTTGAGGCACTGATTGTGCCTTTATCGATTTTGCGTAATAAACGAGTTCCGGTTCAGCGGTACCTATGAATGCATGCACATGATACGTGGGTGGGTGGGAACAGCACGTGGACGACAGAATCTGCATCTACATCTAAAGGCACATTGAATGACGTTGATCCATTAGATGGAATGCTAAGTATTACATTTATTTTGACGGAGAAAGCAAACAAATGGAAAGTGTGGCCCGGTTCCCGTTAGCCACGGTAAGTTTCTCGATATGTCTTTGTTATTTATGATTCACGAGCCTGCACCCTATGATTTTTTGGTACATGCATAACACTCAATCAGGAATGCAAGTATGGGAAGTACATAATACATCGAATATATATCGAATATTGCATCATGTACATCGTATGTTCCGTTTCAGCTTGCAGACTTTTCTTTTCTGACGAAACTTTACTCCGTGTCCAGACAGAGAACTATATACACAGTCTTTTCAATACAAATTGCTTTCCTAAGTCAGACTGACAAGTGCTGTGTTTTTTTTTTGTTATAGCGCACACAATTTCTACAGAATAAGAAAGTCTTTCATCAGTTTATTTCTCGACACATAAAAAATGGCAAGTCTATCTCCAAAATTTGTATATCTAATTGTTTTGCTGGTGCAACAACTTGTACATTTTCTAAATTATTCATATAGATAAGATATTTAGCATACAAATTCAATTATTGTGAAAAAGCACAAGTGAACTTGAATTCAAATTGAGTGACAATAAGCGGATAACGACCATAGAGCATCTAACCATAATTATTTGGTAAATTGTGAGCACTGGGGAAATCTCATTACTTTATCTAAATTGTCAATTCGACCGATTTCGAGGCCACACCATATCGCAAAATTAATCTCTATACAGGAGCGGAAGCCTTGAGCAGTTTATATTATTATATTTGCGGAGGTCTATTAGGCCACGTATTACATCCTCCACGGCTCCACGGCGATGTTGGATAACGAGGCAGCCGAGAGAAATTGTGTTTTCCAAACCAGCCTTCATAATCATCACCTATAAAATGCGCTTCACAGTCTGGTAACCAACTTTGGGAGACATGGAATGGCTGCTATTGTACAATGCGGAGCAATTTTCCCCTCCTCACGATGATGGGACAATCGTAGCTCATAACCATTCAGCTCCAAATCGCATGATTAATTATTGTTCTATATATCCTCAGACCCTTCATGGAGCGAAATGTTGCGAAATATTCCACTACCCTCAGCTTTCTCCGTTGTATGTACGTCTTGTTGCTGTCTAAAATGTGGTCTATTCGTCGTGGGGTGGTCTGAGTCTAACCTTGTTGTATAGTACTTCTAACAACTGAGTTCCACGTGAAAGTGCGGTTCCACCCAGACTCGTAGACGCCGAGAAGAGAAGAACAAGCAAGTAATATGACTTTTGGTTGAGACGAGAGGAGAATGAATGCTGCGCTTTTGCACAATTTGAAACTTGCAGTGTTGAGTCAGTTGACTGTAATAAAGAGTGGCATCATGCCTCAACTACTTTGAGGATCTTCATTCATCCATCCATCCATTCAATCCACTACACCATGGCCAAAATTGGGACAAACTCCCTCAATTGTGAGATAGTCATCATCGTCGTCGTCGTCCTCTTCCTCGTCGCAGCTCCCTCAAAGCGATATCGTCTCTGAAGCCGTGTATAATTGATTTATCGAATGGTAGCAAACATCCATTACTTTGCCCATTGTGTCCTCTTCCCTTCGGATTGAAAACTTTCCATCTCCTCTGCAAACACGGCATGACAAAGTTGGTTCACCGCACTGATTTATTCGCGGTGTATAATTACGTGGAGGGGTCATTAAGATACAGCTCGCCGATCAATAATAATCCTCATAATGGATATAACTGCTAATAACTGATTGGCAATACTGATTGATATAAAGGACTCCATGCGGTGGCCCATGATCACACTCACGGATTTCTGCAATTCTGTTGAATGAATGAATTCCATTTTACGTAAGGATGCAAAAGGAATATTTCGTAGAACCGAGGCGACCATGCAAATTGGAAAATCGTGTTCCACAAGAATGAAAGGACATCACATGCGAGACAATCAATCCGGACATCCGGATAGTTTTCGATTCATTTGGCATAGCGATGCTGTGCTTCCATTTTGAGCCACAGAAAAAAGAAACCAACCATTTGCCTACAAATCTGAAATATGCACTGTCCTTTTCAAAACTGCTCAAACCATGAAACCAGACATACATACTATTACATGAATGCACACATGAATATGTAGGAATGTAATTTTATCTCATTTGTGTGTGGGTGGCTAAATCCGCAATTCTTATTTTCAGCTGCGCCACCAGCAGGTAATTGGATCAAACCAAATTAATGTCTTGATTGGCACTACAATGGAATCCATTTAAAGTTTTTGGACCCTTGCCTCCCTCTCGCCAGTTTTATTCCAAGTACGAGTACGAGACAATAGTATGGTGGAAAACTAATGGAAAACACATGTAGAGTTCAATTTCTCTGTCATTGCATAAATTATACTTCTCGAGCTATTAATCACTCCAGTTTCGAAGATAGGAAGAGATTGCTGACAACAACAGGACTTGGGACAGATGAGACAGGACGAGTTCGTTTAACTCTTTTCGTCCTGCGTCGCCTCGATTCTGTTGGTGGTCGCATCATCATCATCATTAAACGCCTAACATCAACAGCACTCATTCTTTAATTGTGTACATAAATCACACAGAATGAACATGAAGACCAACTCTGTAAAATTTTATTTGACAATTTTTTCTGGTGCAATTAAAATAAAATTTAAATTATTACAATATTGTAGGATATACGTATGTACTAAATAATGCCCATTTATATATTATTGGATGTACGTGCATTATTTAATTCAGCAACATATTTCTTTCGCCTTTAAATTCGTATGAGCAAAGCTCACATTTTATTACAATTCTTTATCCATGTAAAAACAATGCATTGAATAAATGAATAGTAATGAGTGCTGAGTACCGAGTCTAGAATTATGTAAAGCCACACGAGTGACAAGGTGCCAGCAGATTTTTTGGGCACTAATAACAATGCAGCGATTAGCTCGAGTCGGCGTCTTGCACACTTTTAGTTTCTACACAATTGAACAATTTGCTCTTAAAGAAACACCCGAACGCACACCAACAAGAGCAGGTTTGAGATGTATCTCAACCTTTGAGATGTGTGATTGATAAGCCAAAAAGCCACTCCATTTCATTAAACCGACTTGACTGTAGCTTAAGCTATTCCGTAGCCTGGTCTCTAACTGTAATAATCATGCTGGGTTGGATATGTGTATGACGTTAAGTACGTGTGCAACATGTGCATGTATAATGGCAATGTAGGTAAGCCTTGGCTCTGATCTTGGCGTTTAGTCAAGATTTTAGAGGAATGACAAATGATGAAGACAGCCTTTGTCAGATATCAAAGCATATCTCACAACAACAAAGACATGAAAACAATTCACATAAACTTCATCTCTATCTCCACCATGGTGGGATTGAAACTTAAGCCGCACATTGCATGCACGGACAATTCGTATTTGTATTTGCGTATTCGCACTTGTTCGTACGTATATGTATGAACAACAACCAACTTTTGACCTATGACTGAAAACTAGTCAAGTTCAGAATTCTCAGTTTCTATACAAAGGATTTCTCGGAGTCAACCCGTCTCTTTTCTACTTTTGTTTATTTTTAGCCGTGGTGGAGAACGACACTTCTTCTCAACCCGTGCATTTCATAGAAATACATAAAGAAATAAATCCGTTTTGTTTTCGTTGGCTTTGTTGGCACCAAGTGAGGAAGAGGAATATCCACATACACATAAATAATGTATACGTAATACGTATAAGATATAAGCAACATTTACGGGGGAAGTTCTCTCACCCCGAGATTAGCTGAATGGTAAATTAGCTGACATTACCGCGATAAGTTCCGGGATGGGCAACACCATTCAATGTCGTAACATGGACTCGAGTGGATACGTGTGTGAGATTCGTCTGTGCCACTTTCTCCCAGTTTTCTCTTGTCTTGCCTTTTTTGCGAAAAGAAGACAACCAGTAGCTTAACTTTTATTTGAATACCAAATGTAATTAACATTGCAAAATTTATTTTCCTTTGCAACACTCATACTTTGCAATCGACACAAATGGAAAGAAGGATAAATTTCTGGTACCGTATAATCTAACGGGTGTGCATGGAAGAAGAAGATTACAATGTTGGCTGCAGTGCTGGAATAATAAAATAGTGCCAAAAAACGTTGCTCTCTTTTCTGAAAAGAATGAAACATTATGAACAAATAATTAAGGAGTGCTTCCAGGAAAGAAAATAGATATTTTACCTCTTCCAACAAAACTTGCATTCCCCATTTTTTACTTTTTGTTCACAGCTCGCTAACTTTTTCACTTTTGGGAAATCAAATTCAGATGTGTGCTAGTTTCTAATGGGTTGCATGATATAAGGAACAAAGGAACAAGGGAAGACGGAGAATGGTGGCCAATCCGTGTTGCATGCCACTGAAAGTGGGAGTAAAGATCATTACTCATTTATCTATGGTAAGGAGCTCACTAATTCCATTATTATTGAATCAAGAATTGCGGTTTCTTCCTTAGTCCAAAGTTTGGTATTACGGTAAATAGGGTATCATACCGAAAAAAGGAGGTTTTTCTTTTATGGTTCTTTCTTGCATGCTATGACCAAATTATTTAATTAATAGGATTTTCCGTTTTGCGCACTAACTTGGCATATGCTCAAAACAATTAGACGACCAATTCCTGCAGTTGAGTACACATTTCGGAAAGATCAATATTTGGAAGGAGAACTTTTTCTTTGTAAATAAAATGATATAAATACTTTTACTGCATTGTGCTGCACTATTACATGTAGTAGCGCACATGAAATGCCTTAAAACATGTATGAAACAAATAAAGAGAAGGCTGGCTCTTTTATCGAGGAATTACAATGCACACAACCAAATACACAAGAGAGATGCCTCTGGCAGTCTTCTTTGAAATCAAAAGTTATGTTTTATTGTTGTTAATTTTGTACAATCTACGGGCATCACATGAGAACGCCAACTTTGAGGCATGAGAGAATACGGTATCAATCCAAAGAGACGCCATTGAAATGCGAATTGTGCCCGCTTTTCTTTACTTTGACCTAAATCCCACGAGAATTCGAATCCTGAGTTGGCACGGGATCCTGACTTTGGGTTCAGGATAGAAATTGAAATGTGGGTGTGGAATTGCCGTCAGTGAGACTCAAATCTAATCTAACCTTATCCACGACGGAGAACTTAATCCCGGAAGGGCTGAAAGTTTCTCGAGGATAAATAAATACAAATTCGGGCACCGGATCTACAATCTCCGGCAGCAGATCTGTATCTATCTTCAGCCGGAAACCTAATTTTCATTGCGTCGTGATTGTGCACAACCGAGCGAATTTGAATTTGGTTTAAAAAACCCTTTTTCGGCATTTTAACTTCAAGTTGTGCTTTGAATGTGGAGCTTTCACCATATAATACACAAAAGAACCTAAATGTGGGTCTTCTGCGTTATTTCTGGCTATATATTATGGCTATATGTATTAAGATGCAAAAGTAAGGTGCTCCAATACTTATTTGTTTAGCCAGAAGATTTTTTATCTTAATTTATGATTGAGGACGTTTGAAAATGTGACACGCGACTCTGGTGAATGCTAAAAGGATATGTTAACTTGATTGTGTATGTGTGTGTATAATGTTGCAGGCGATGGCAGTAGCAGTTGGGTTTATGGGTGTCAGACTGATCTCCATATCTTTGGAAGTGACAACTAATCCTACTTTTCAGCAACAACATCTGAGCTCTTCTCTAGAGTTTCAAAATAGGGCAGAAGTTGTCTGGAAATTGGATCCCATGATGAAAGGAAGATCTTTCCAGGAAGGGCTAATCTATCCAGAAGAAGAAAAAGACGATGAATCCCTTGCTCCCAGTGAACTTGGTGGACTCGCAGAGTTTACTTCTAGTCACAATCTCCTTCGTAGCGCAGACGACGACGACTCCCTGTCCAGGGATTTTATGTTGCAGTACTCCAAAGCTATGCTCGTCTGTGGACTTTTGGCCTTGTGTGCTGTCGTCTTCCAATTTCTTTGCTCCTGTCTCCTCCTATGTTTCATTAATTGGGTAAGAGTCCTTCTCGGATGAAGTTTACAGCCCCGAGACCACACCCATCTCATTCTCAAAGTAAATCTCACCGGTACAGAAAATTTGCATCGCCTACTTTTTTTTTACTACACACACAAAGTCTACCAAGTATATGTCGTCAGTATAATGTTTCATAGCATTTTAGGGACATGGGAAAATGGTCAACCAAATCAAAAAGCAGTCTCTGGAAGGTTATTGTGAAGTGCTCACAAAATTGTGAAATAATGACATAATCTGATGACTCGTATAGTTGTGTGTCCCATTTTGGAGGCACACAGTTTCAGGGGAGACAAGCTTGAGTCTCACTTTGCTCGGGAGTATGCATGGGTTGACACTTTGCAAATTTACGTTCCGCTTGACACGGAGTTGTAAACATGAGAATGATAAGGGGCAATTTATCACTTTCACTCATTCATATTGTTTGGTTGGGTTTCAGGACGAAAAAGCTCCCTCGCAAATCTGGGTGGCCGTGAATTGCAGCATTCTCTTCTGCCTCACTTCCTGTTTGGTGCTATTTCTCTGCGAGGGCAACTCCATACCTGCCTACTCCACGGATGAGAAATTATTCCTTGCCCTAGTTACTGCTGACACCCTCCTATCCATTTATTTCCTATTTATTGTAATGGCATTTATATGAAGTCATAAATTTATATCGCAGATTAAATTCTTCATGACCTAAGTTTGTGGGTCGTTCGTTTGTAAACACATAGCTTTACTTCCACTCTGTCCATCTACGTTTACTCCAAATTAGTGCGTAATCTCAGCTTGCGTTATTTAACAAATTCCGTTGAGAAATTGTATTTCACTTGTATTTGTAAACCAATTATTGCAGTGAAAGGTGCCTAGTTCCAATTTATGTTTACACAATCGACATTGCTTTATATGACAGTGTGAAGTCCTGGATCAAACTTTAGTGGTTAATATCGTGAAGTGACAAAAAATTTTATGATGGACTTGTTAAAAATATATTTTGTGCATATGTAAGACAACATAAATATGTACATATATGAACCATCTACACAACAAGCTCCTACAACATGACGAGTTTGTACTGTGGAGCAAATCTGTGAGAGAAGTATAACGGAGGAAAGTATGTAAAGTGAAATCAACTTGGTTTCAAAATGAACGTTATGGAGAGTTTCGGAACAAGTTTGCAGATATTTGTGTGGACAGAGACGGGGAACAACAAAACAGTACGATAGCTCAATGCTTGGGCCAAACCTCCTGAATAATACATCACCTAGAAAACTTGAACTCCCGACCGTGCAGCAATGGAATAAATAATTTCTGCTTAACAACCCAAAAGCAACAACCACAGAATAAAATATCCTACACCACAGAACACAAGTTCGCCGAACAAAGGGCATAAATTCATCAACTGTACTAATAAACAGGCGTTAATGTAAGGGTGAAAGTAAGTATAAGCAGACAACAGCCTCAGCAGTAGAGTACATATATTTATTAACCAACCAAGTCTCAAGTTTACAAAAGTGCATGAAGAGAGACGATGATATGCTTAGAATTTTGTACACTTTTGTGTTCCAGGACATTCATTGGACTTTGCGTTGGGGCTAAAAAAACAGAAAAATATGTAAACGTGTTCTTTGAGAAAAATCGACGAGAAGTGAAGAGGAGGAGACTACTAGAAAAACTATAGACTGATGTTAAAGAGAAAGTCAAAAGTCTCAGTGACACGAACTTCATTATGTTTCAGTAGCACGCCATGGACTTGTCTTGTTCATGTCATTTCTTGCCATTCGGAGGTAGACATACTTCGACGAAGGAAGGACTTTCTTTGTCCAGATACATACTCGAGCAGAGCTTATCTAGAAAAACCATTAGATCACTTTTTCTTGATCCATACCGGATACTGCTGTGCACATTCGGAAGCGGTCCTTCATCAACCGTGAGACAGCAGTAGCAGTAAACAATGAGTCCAGCATGGAATAAGACATATTATAGACCTATAGAGTTATACAGTGCAGTACTATGTTCTTTGAGCTAAGATTTTTGACACTGGTCGGATGTGACTAGAAACCTCAATCGGGCTGTGGTCCTTTAGTCGTCACCTTCTTTCATATCATATTCGGAAAATAATTGCAAAGAATTAGCTGTGAAATTCTGATTTCCACTGTAATTACTCCACTCTGGTAATATGGACAGGCTCGCCCGTGCTTATCCGTGCACAGTATGAAACAATAGTGTGTTGTTTCATTCAACAATATGACATTACTGCAATGAGCGTTTTAATCCAATAAATGGTGCTGATAAACTCAGCACTTCTCCTCAAGATTGTATGTCCTCTAGGTTTCATCGATTTCATGTAATTCAATCTCGTGTGGTAGTTTTCTCTCTTTGTACACACGGCACAGAAGATGGAACGTGGTTGCAGGAGCAGGATGGGAAGCAAGTGAAAGCACCATTTGCTTGAGAGTGCCTTCCTTCCTGAAAAATCTACTTACTCAACGGTTCTCCTTGAATTGGAGGAATGGCAGAATTTGAGGACAAGGCCTTGACGTACTCATATCTCACATTTAATATTTCAGGTTATCTTACGGAAGGAAGTGCTCCTTCCACTTCCACCACTTTGAACAATTTTGATAACAGCTGTGCATGGTTCCTACCTTTTGCAATTCATGCAAAAATCTTGATGCATTGTTACAGCTTGGTTTTCCAACTTGGAGAAGCTACACATTTCCTCGCACGTGTATATTCACAAAATATATATGCACGCCTGTCTTACATATAAACATGTACCTCATGGTAGCTACATACACACGTACTTTGTAAGAAAATAAAGTGTACCAAGAATTCATGCGGTTCCATAAAAATATGTGGGAGAAAGTTAAGGCAAAGAGGAATTCCATTCTAAATTCCATTACGTGAACCCACAATGCTATTACATTAAGCAGTTCTTGCTCTTCCTCTTGTACACATGCACCTTTAAGAAAATAATACAATATATGCATCAGTGAAAGATTGTGACCACATCCACTCCACCACACCACAGCTTGGCTTGGCTTCGAATTCATACAACCACCGTTAAGATCTCTCCTCAATTTATTCTTACATTAGTTTGGGTCACTTTGATTGCTGTGCTATAAACGACAAAGCTTTGTACATATTGTAAATAAAGTAATGCAGATAATTTTAAGGAGATTGACGAATCAAAAATGCAGCAAGTAGGATTTTATGCAAAGTCTTCAAGCATACCGCTAGAGGTGCATACCTTGTCTTTCATCCATATGTACTTACATACATACGTTTGAACACGTTTAGGAATATGAAAACTATGAAAACAATTCCAATTTCCCTCTAGAACTGGGAGAAAGGTGCGTATCGAAGTGACTTTTTCCAGGACAGGATTACATTTCTGTCCTAGAAGACTAGAAGGATTCCCCAACATGCTAAAATAATACTACCGCCGCAATTTTAGCCTATGAAACTTTGCCAACGTTCTGTCTCTGCTGGAAAGACGATGCAGAACTGGAAAAGGAATCGGTTCTGAAAATAAATTGAATCTGATTTGAGATTAGACATTGAAACACATCTTGTTCTTACTGCTGCGAAAGTCGGATTCACAATGACACATCCTGCGATACAATCGTTCGTTTGCTCGGTGGTCCAAAGAATGGTTTTACCAAATTGTGAATTTCTCTGGAGACCTCTCTCCAGTTCCACTCCCCTCGCGCAATCAGTGTGTGTGTGTGGCAGAGAGAGGAAGAGCGTGTGTGTGGAGATTCAATTTTACAGTGGTGCTCACTTTCCGTTTCATCTCGACTGTATGAAACGAATCTTGAGCGACTGAGACGACGGGCAGCTAACAAATCAATTCAGAGATTCGAAAGGAGAAAGACGAGAATGGTTAATTCCTTGTGGTTACATAATTGATTACCAACCCACATAACGTAAAAAATTTAAGGCATATTACTTTTTCACTTCATTGTATACCACTCTATTTGGTTACCGACTCATGGCTCTTATGTAGGCCTTACCATTGCGGCGTAAAGCTGCATGTGATGCATAGAAGATGTCATACATATGTAGACGATGTGATGAGCTGCATACATATTTCTTCCCACGAAGGCTCCCAAGGCTCCAACTGCATATATTGAAAAAGTATTAAATTGAGAGAGTGTTGGGGACAGGTTGATTTATGAGGTAAAATCATAATTTGACCGACATGAAGGTGTTGAACGAAGTATTCCCAGGTTGGCCTTGATAAACTTTCAGTAATCGGTCCTATAGAATGTTTTCTCCCCTCGGATCCTTGATGCTGATGGTAAACGAGAGCATGGCATTTTTGCAATTCAAATCAAATCACTGTTTAAATAAATCACTCATGAAATAATAGAGAGAGCTGCATATAGACATATGTATCTCAGTTGGAGCATATAGTCGCTACTCTGCGTGTATCCTTTACCTTGGGGGAGTAATAATAGTGCATGAAATAATATGAATCCCACGGATGCTTGGTGCATTTCCCTAAAAGAACCTTCAGGCAGTGAAATTGTTAAATACTTAGCAAGTGGCTAAAATCTCATTCCTCTCTGACTACACAGTTTCATCTGGCATCCGAATGATTTCTTAATTTGTTTAGCTGTTTGCTTTCCTTGGTTTTGATACCTTTGCGAACACTTGTTTACTTTTACTTTCTAATCCCATTAATTCAGCGAAAATTGCCCAATTAAATGAGAAACCATTTCCTGTTAGCGTGAATTTCAACAGAGTTTGACACCAAGAACAATTACAAGAACCAAATTTTGATTTCTGCAAGAATATCAGTGCCGGATATTATTTTGAACATACATTTTACAACCAATTTTAATACTCAAATGAAAATCTACTATATATCCTCATGACTTTAAAATTTATCTGGTCAATAGTACACACATATATGAAACCTATGTATGCATATCTGTGTGTATGGATTCACAAAGATGTGTAAATAGTTTCCTTCACTATGGACTTTTACTATGGTGAAGTTTTGCTGCATTCGAAAAATTAGAGGCAATGTGTATTCTTGGACATCCTTCCTTCGTCTCTCCCTTCAAATTAAGGAAGACAAGACAAACGGGTTGGTTGGCCTGAATACAGATAAATTTCTAACGAGCATAGTAACTTGGCTTTCACAAACCATGACAGGGCAACGTCTGATCTAGGTTTGATCTTAGTCACAAGGAGCTTCACATCTGACATATCCCACTAGCATTTTTAGCTTTGAACTTTCTCCACTCACGTTCTTGTTATGTGGATCATTACGTAAGATAAAAGTACGTCGGCGAAGAGCAACAAACAACAAACAGCGAGATGAAATAAGATGGTCAACCTAACTGACTGAACTCATCTCAACAAGAACATCAAGTACATTGCATGCATGCCTCGGCATTTATATATTACAATTATACGCCCATGTATGTAAATTGGCGAATTGAGGAAAGACTTGCGTCCATCATTTGCGTTCCTGTACATTTTCCATCCAATCGCTTGATCCCCGTAAACAAAGAACCCATGGTTTGGATTGGAGAGAGTATACCCTCGTACCACGTTTTGCGTCATAGCGCAGTCATACAGCCCAAAAACGTGTCGTTAAAATATATAAAAATCAAAGTTTCGAATATTTAACCCTTTGTACAGAAAATTTTTATGAGATAATCAATAACAAACTATACTCCTCAGTGAAGTGTCGCCAAATGAATGTAAGGTTTTAACCTGCGGTAACTTTCCACCTCGTGTGGGTACCGCCGCTTTTAAATAAATAAATTATGGTTTTCAAATAAGAGTCGCATTGTTGTGTTTGGGAGGATCAAACGATTGGGGTGGAAAACATATAGGGACACAAATGATGGGACGCACCTTTCCTTAAATATGTAGTCCGTACATAGAATTCTACGCCATAGTCGCTACTTTAGAGGATACTATTACACTACCAATTTATTTGATGAAGCTCATTCCTTCCATCTATAAAAATTTATTTGTTCAAATGGAACATAACGATCCAAATATTTATGCACCAATGCTCCTCAATTGTATGTTAATGCAATTCAATCTCAATTCTTGCTGAATTTCTTTTAAATTGTGTGTCTTTGAACCAATGATATACATAGTGTACACGAAATGTACACAGTGATGTACGATTTTTTTGTTTGACAAGGAACCGTTAAGTTTTCTTACCAATTTCTAAACACATTTATTATGTAAATACGCACTATAGATATTGTTAGCTGAACTATGTAAGCGTGCATGTATATATGCTTCAGCAAAGTAGCTTTCTCTATTACATTATATGATCCAAGTAATGAGACGGTTTGCATGTTTGAACGCGGTGTCGGATTGGTGGATTTACAATTTCTGAAACTTTCGACATAGAATTAGAGTGTTAAAAACATAAGGGTCCACATCAACATGGTCAGTTTTATTTTCCTTCGCCACCAGATGCGATGGTACTAAAGCAAAGTGTTTATGCAAATGCTAACTTGTTCATACAAGAAATGAAATGGTGCACGTTGATTGTGTTTCTCGTGCCAAGTTTATGTAAAGCAAGTAATAAGAGGAAGGAATGCCCACATATTTAAATTGGATGAGTTCCCTCGTTTCCGATATCCTGCTGCATGTACACACGTGCAGTTGCAGGAATAAATATTATATTGCTTTCAATTGAAAGACGAAACCACACCCTTTTGTTTCAACACATGGAATAAGTAAATCACAATTGTGCCTTTATTTTTCATCTTTATTTTTGTGTCTAGCATAGTACAGTTACCACATGCGGTTTGACTTGTACCACTATGTGCGATTCTCTAAACTACACTGCTGTTGTTGCTGGAGGTGCATTATAGTTGTTACAGAGTCCCTGAAAATCGACAATAAATTGAAGAAGAGAAAGCATTTTTGTGCCAAAATTTAACCACTGGCTGCATTGGAAGAGCAGAAAATGTAGGATCCAAGTTGATCCTTTGGTTAAGACAAGTCAACAAACAAACCTTGTTCTGTGAAGTAAGGAGGCAGTCAGTGATGTGCTGCACTCGACTTTCACAATCCGGGGTTGGCCTAACTTTGGAAATCGGTATGGTTATGCCTGCAGCATAAAAATCGTTTCATGAACCACCATCATCAGATAAATGGAGGAGTGATCTAAATCCGCCATATATCTTCACTACTTTCACCCTGCTCCGCCCTCCACTTCTACGTATAAACTTGGCTTACCATTCTGGTGAATGCAGTCTTGGAAAACCGATCTGACGATGTGTAACGTCTTCGGATCAACTCCCAAGAAAATATCCTCAAGGAAAGATAACGATATCCATTGATTAATGGCCAAATCCTCACCAACCTAACAAATGGATACGTACTATTACATGCACATATACATACGCACACCTAATGAATGTCCTCATTTGTTTAGATTTTCAAACTTCTCTTGGAAGAATCAACTTACCAGCCCAGTTTTCCAAAGAGAACAAGAATTGTGACTTTTGCACTGGAATTAATAATCGACAGACGTTTGAACTAATCAACGTACATATATATGTATTTAGTAATGGTGTTACGAAAGACGTAACTGATATGCACTGTATAGATTTCGGTTTCTTACGGGATAATCGTGAGGACACGAGCCCTCCTGTTTCTGATATTTACGATTTACAGCAGCCTTTCTGTCGGAAATCATAGCTGATGACAAGCACGTGATATTTTTTACAGTGTCCTTTGGATCAGGTAAGAGGGTGACAAAAGTGGTTCGCGACTTTGCATGTGACGCTGGTGTTCGTGCCTTGTAAGTTGTAATGCTTTTGTAGTTTTTAACTTTCTTCTTGAAACTTGGTATCGACGCTCTTCTTGCAGTAACTTCCACACTTCCCTTGGTATCGGAGAGCATCAGGATTACGACATGCTTATTGCCAGACGTCACATTTATTAGCTTAGCATATTTGGGAGGATTCACTAAACGTAACTTTTTTGCCAAGTCCCCTCTCTGAACCCATAATGGACTCTGGTCTTTAGAGAAATTTGGTACAGATTTTGATTTTGACAATGTTATATTTTTTGTAGCTTTTTTAAACGATCGTCCTGATTTAACTCTGGTGTAGTTTTTTATACTGTTGGAATTTCTTGGGGAGACTTTCTCCACGCGGTGGCTTTCTATAGTGGACAAATGTCTCAAAGGATAACTTGCTGCGCCATCGTCTTCATCACCATCACTTGCGACGGGGAATCTAATTTTCCCATTACTTGTAGTGGAATTAGGCTCTTCTCCTGATGCAGGAGTATGGCTTTGATGATGAGGACTTTCTGTGGAACCTAAATTAGAAGAATTCAATGAGCATATTGAAAGCAGACAGCATATTGTAGATTTGAGTTATCATGCGATGGCAAGGTCATAGCACCATTAAATAATATTTTCTCAGACGATGGAATCTTTGCAGATGACATTGATATCTTTGGTGATGGAGGTTTCAACTCCAAGTCAGATTGGTGTTCAGAGCCGCCTTGGAGCATTTTTCTTTCGTCCAACATGATGCGAGGAGAAATTGGAGAAAGAGGCGAAGTTGAAGAAGAATGTTCCAGAGATGATTCGCCACCACCAGTATTTGCTTCATCATTTTTATTTTTGTCAAATAGGAAAGAGATGGTATTAGGGTTTTCTGGCTGTAAGTGGAACTCTGTCTCATCATCAGAGGATGTCGTGCCACCATCCCTGAAAAAATTCCCTCCTCCACCACCATCGCCATCATCATTTTGAGGTCTGTAGGGACTATGACTGTCGACATTTCTCCATTCTTTTTTCATAACACTACGACTACGAGGAGGGAGAGTGGAGGAGTCCGTTTGTTTAAAGGCACTTTGATTGAAAGATAGTCCACGGGATCTGCTTGGACTCTCGTCGTCGTCTTCTTTTCCCACCACTCCTCGAGGAGTGTCAATATTTGTTCCCCCTGTCACCGCCTTTCTCCTCTCCAAATTCTCCTCAGGTTCGACCCATCTTGATCTCTCCTTCATAGAGTATTGCCGTGCAAGAATTCTCCCAAGTTCCGGGTCAGGGTCTTCCAAATTTGGATTTTTGATCAACCGGGTCCCTACAAAAAAATTAAATCAATTTTTTTGGGCATCACAAGTCACAAAAACTTTGGGGGATCACATTTTACATATGATGCATGAACTTTATCCTTGACGGATACAAATAATAAGAAAGTTTTCCATTATTTTCATAACTTTAAAACAGCGGTGTACATTGCATAAAAAGTTGTCCTATTATGTAAATATTTTGAAAGTGTCAAAACGTTTCAAAATGATTTCTTGTATAACCTCCTTTACAAAATAATCGAGTAGAGGCTTCTTCGTTACGCTTACCGTTGGGTGCGACGGGAATGAAGAGATAATGATCTCCTTCTCTGTACATATCCACAATCACCGGTAGTCCATCTCCATCAATCACACTCAGTCGAATTGGAAAGGAAGTAGTGTCGTCAACTTCGACAGGGTCTGTCTATGTGCAAAAGGAAGGTGCAAAATGTTAGCTACAAGAAAGTCCTAACTTTCTTGGTACTAAAGTACATACAGAAATATAATCAACTGGGGTGTTTGTGTTTTAGTATCTTATCAGTACTCAATCAAATGTGAAAGCATATCGTGTTCCATCCAACTAGTTGGTTAAGACATGCTTGGAATTAATCGAAAAGCAAGCGAGGTGGGTGGGTGGATGAGAATGAAAGACTTACATGTAGCAGAGGATCTGAGGAGAATAAGTAGAAATTTAATAGAAATAAAAACACCATTCACCATTGCAGAACCAGTAAAAGGATTAATTTCCTTTGAGAAAGTTTTTTTTTCGTTTCTGCGAGTCTTAATGAATACAAGTCACGACCCTGGACAAGAAGCCTGAAAGCGGAACATGTTTCATTTATTGCTATTGAGTCTTCCATAAAATAGAGGCGAAACGACACGCATTGAATCGAAATAAAATACTAATCCTAGGATCCCCCAAAAATTTAATAAAATAAACTAAGAAAATAAAATAATAAACAATCCATGATTTTGTGAAGCTCAATAATAAATATATGCTCCGATGTATACACAAGTTGGTAAATGAATCAACTCGTACATACATATTTACATATTTTCTATTCTGAATGCAATCAATTTCACAATAAATAAAGGTGTAGAAAACACTCAAGGACTTTGTTGATTGTTAATTGTGTTTCTCATTCTTGTGCAGTGCACCCTGCTACAAACGACGAAGACAAGTGAATGCATTAATTATTACGCAACTCGACAAGTGAATACCAACATTTATTATGGTTGTGCTGTAGTAAATAGATGCTATTCATGCTGCAAATATGTTTGGTGGAAGAAAACGTCCTTGCTTCATCAACAACTTTCCTTTCCATCTCTGGTGAACCAAGTAGTTCGCCCACAATTTCTGCCTGCAGAAACATTTTACTGCAACAATATTTTATGTCTCGTTCTTTGGCACCCAGCTTTCTAATGCATTTTAAGGAAATACGCAGAAACTAGCCAGCAAATCTGATTTTGTGCTTTGGAGAAGAAGATGCAGAAAATCCTATTTGGAGTTTCTCCATCTTTATAGAAACAAAAGTAGTAGGAAGAGGGAAACTAGTTCTACGTGACCATCTCCAGACCAGTGCTGCTGAAACTATCTAATAACTGGCAAAGTAATATGTACGAGGACGGCCCATTTGACATTTTGGCAAATTCCCCACTGCCGTTCAAGCATAACTAATAAAAGATACTTGAGGCACTCGTAAGTACAAAGGCAGCCTTGTGTCGCTTCGGCAATAAAGTCTGTTGTTATATCAGATCACCACACACACACACACAATGTACAAATGACGGGTAAAGAGGATAATGTGTAATGTGCAGGGGTGGTGCGGTGGTAGGTAAGCAGCGTCGTCGTCGTCGTCAGCCGGCGAAAAAGGGAGAAAGTGGAGAAAAAGGATATAATGCAATAAAAATATTTTCATGGATCTCCTACTCAAATTCTCTTCTCTTCCAGGCTCACATTACGACACGACACACAATTACTTTTATGCTCTTTCTTTTGCCATCAGACGCTTTGACAATAATTTGGAAGATAAATGAAATTTTCCTTTGAATCATTCCCACTGCCTGCGTCCCCACCACCGAATATATTTAGCGGATGATGATATAGTTAGAAATCGGGCAGTAGTATGTAGTGGTAGCATTTAGCATGGCCAGGGATAAGTAAAAAGGAACACTAACTTCATTGTAATGGATCTGATCTCACAGTCAGCAGGAATGGGAACGCTCTTTTTTCATGTCTCGGGCTCGTATTGACTGGTTTTATGTGTCTTTTTAATTAAAATTTCAGACTCAGTCGACAAGGTCCATCCATACTGGGCAAGTGCAAGTAAAAGGAAAAATAAAACTCTTCCAGACATAGGACTTTTATTCACAATGCAGTCAGTCTGACTTTGACCGAAACTTCCCAACATTTTCGCACAAACTCCTCGTAGAGGCAAAAAACTGCACATGAGAATTTTGCTAAGCATGAGGCGAATGTAATGTGTACCCCAAATGTTGGTGTTATTGATTAGATTCATTGTTTGGTTGTTAGTTTATTTCCTACTCGAATTTATATGAAATTATTAGGATTTTCAGTAATCCATTCATTCCTTACCTACTTACACATACTACATAGTGGACAGATGTGAGGAAAGAAAGCCTAAAATCGTGCGAAATAAGTGGTCAGTCAAACAGCCGTCGAGAGGAGAAAGCTGCTGGGATATTGCGTTAATTATTAAGGTCAGAAGAGTGTCTGCTGGATTGTAGTTGACTGATCTAATCACAAATCCGGGAAAGCATAGTGTATGAGTTATCGCTAATTGTACACATTATTTCTACTAACGAGTGAACATAATCCGTCAATCAGTTCAGCTCTAACGTAATGATAATGAACCGCTCCGCTGCCCCTGATTCCCATCCACTGAGTTCGTCTCTTTCTGGAGAAAGCACTTCCCATCTACTCCGGCACATTCGTCAGGAGTATTTGTTGTGCCGACCTCCGTCACAAATTAAAAACCTTGCCGAGTTCTTGGGAACCGATACGACCTCGTCCAGCACCAACGTGGTCGTCTCAACTGCTACCACGAGGTATTTATGTGTGATAAATTATCACTGATAATGTTCGACTAACTTTCTTTCTACTTTCATCCTTTCCTTTTTTACGTGAATATTGTGATTAAGACGGCGTTCTCAGCATTTACATATGTATGCAATTTTTAGCCCTAGTCCTATGTACTAGTACAGCATGGGTGTATTTAGTTTGTGGCAATGAAGTCATCTCATTTTCCAGATATCCCGTAGAAACTCTGTCAGAGCGTATTCAGCAACTCCACGAAGCAAGCGTTGGTTACCCACGGTCCGAGGGGGAAAAAGAATACCAACCACCCACACAATACAGAATTGCGTTCGTAAAGTATATCATTAAACAGGTACCTCAACTGAAATTGAACAATTCTAGCTCTGAAGTCTTATACTGCGCTATATATATAAATGGATGACGCCTTAATAAACTTGCCAATTTCTTGGAATGTGAAACACTTTGAGAAGCGAGGAAGGAGTCATTAGGATTTTATCTTTTAATTGCTTCTCTATATCGCCATCAACCATGTCTTTGTATGCATTTAGTTGGATACGGTGCTGGGATCTTGTGAATCTGCAAAACGTGATAAGGACGATGGTGCGGAGGATGACAATGAGCCGTCTGCTTTATGGTACGAGTCATTAGAATCTCTATCTGGCATGGAGGCAGAGCAGACCGAGCCTTTCTACCGGTTCTACGAATTGCCGGAAAATTTCGGTATGGTAAAGATATTCGAAAACGAGCGTGCAATCGTCTCGGAAGGCACCACCGGCCTTTTAACTTGGGAGGTGAGATATGCACTCATCCGGGTTTGATGATATAATTAATGTGTTGTAATGGCTTTGTGAATTGTCAATATTCTAAGTAATGCGACACCCATATCTCTTTATCCACAAGGCCTCCATCGAGTTGGTGAGGTGGTTCAGTCTTGGCGAAAATAACCAAGCAATTAAGGAGCGAAAATGGGTGTTGGAGCTTGGATGTGGGTGTGGCTTATTGGCTACTGCTGCGCTTAAGATATTTCCCCATATATTAAAGTATTTTGCAACGGATGGACATTGGAGGTCTGAACCCTACACGAGTAAATATTATAGTCATAATCTGGTACAGAGTACTAGTATACGTATAAGGTATTTAGTGTACATAAGCTTTATTTATATGATACCTAAAGTGCTTTGAGGAAATGCAAGATCAACTTGGAAGAAAACTTTGGTGCTTTAAAGACTGATGTGATCCAAGTGGAGAAGGTTGACTGGCAGAACGAGCAAGATGGGATAAAGTTTGGAAAACTCGTTAGAACGGCGACGGAGAGTGAGGAGTTGGGGCCGGGAGTTCTGTTGGGTGCAGGTAAGTCGAGTTTTATCGCCAATAAAATTTATACTGCCCCATTAGCACTCGAATAATGAAAATTGATATTTTATTACATCAACGCGACTAACTACGACGCAGATATAGTTTTTGACACGAGTCTGATACCTGCTTTGGTGGATTTGATGAAGAAATTTCTCGAAAGCCATAAGGACTCCATCGCATTGATTGCTTGCACGGTACGAAATGAAGAAACGCTACGTGTGCTAAAAACATGCCTGGGTAAGAATTTAAGTTGATTTTTTAAGTTCCACTGACTGACAATTTAACTACCCCAAATTTTGTATGCAGAGAGCCATTCCGTTGAATTCAAGGAAATCTATTCGTGGGGTGACAAGAATGGAATAATTTACAAAATTACAAGACGAATAATATCATAGATTTTGAAAAAGTAGTTTGATAAATCCTAGTTTATTACAATATGATTGATCTATGAAAGTACAAACAATTACATTAACCTCATCTTGACACTGATATACAAAAGATATTATTATGCCGAACTAATTCTATTTGTAAGAGACAAATTGAAAAGTTAATTAAAAGAGTCATCGAAGTGATCAAAATTTGAGTCTCTCGATGCTTCGTCATCATCCATGTTCTCCTCCAAGCGTTTTAACCGGGATTTGTATCTACAATACATGTATCATCATTATTTTCAACATGGATAAATCAAACATAGGGGTTTATCATTTTATATTACATAGCACTGTCCGGATTATTTTCTTGATTTCTACATTTTTCTAATTTTTTATCCAGCTCGATTCGTAATTCTCGGTTCGGTGAGTCAATACTTGTCATCCGTACCGTCTTTCTGATGGCTACAAATTAACACAAATGCTTAAGAAGTCTCAACATTAAAGTTTTCGTTTAAACATGGAAGTGGTAAATTATAATTACTTCGAACAGCTTCGACTACAGGGAGCAACAATGACTGATCCGTCACCAATGTCTCAGTTACATAAGGGTCAACTTTTTCTTTACATTTTCTTCCAGCTTCCAAAACACTTGCTAATGCAATCTAACATAAAATTTTTGCATGCATATTATTATCATCAAATTTACTAAAATTTCACTTGGTGGAGATGGACTAATTATTAAATTACTTATAAGGTCTTGACTCACTTGAGAAGGTGCATACTGTAGAGGAATATCTGTGAGTAAAACCTTATCCAAAAAGTCTTCGACATGCGGACGGAGAATTTCAGCATCGAAATGTGGATATCTAGTCTTTAGATCGATTAATAATCCCTCAACCGGTCTGTAAGGGTTGTGAATTGTTAAGTGAAATTTCATTGCAGACATGAGCAATAATTCATTGTTCAAAATGATATCCGTTGCCTTTTCTCTGTCTCCGCGAATATTGGCAACGAATCTGAAAATAAAAAAGCATTAGAATGTGAGCACAGCCCATCGTAGTGTTCGTTTAATGATTTTTAGTTATTGTCGGACCAGAATCCAGTTATAAAGTTGTCAATATTATTAAGATGACAATGTTCTTACCTATTGAGTGTAAGGTTGAATTCTTCAATTTTACAAGCCAGATATATACAAGTCACCCTATATTCGATATTATCGTAAGACGTTAACTTTGACGTAGATAGTACATATGCACATTAGAATATGAAATAAACTTGCTCACATAATTTCCTTTGGGTGGTAATTCATCACAGAGTTGTAAAGATAGAACCGTTTAAAATAATGAAACGCTGTGCTTATCACTGTTTTGTTCATTGGAGGCTGGAACTTGAAACAAAAATCTTTCAACTGGAACTCATACATTGACAAAAGGGTTTTTTCCTCATCAACGGTTAAAAAATGATCTTGAGCTTCCTGTGAATTTCAAATTAAGTACAATTTATGTGTTACGATTGTATTATATTATACATATTATTTGTAGTATACAGTTATATAGTCATTGTAACCTTAATATCGGATAAGTCGTTCGAATGTTTATCGACAAACTTCCTGTTGGTTTCTTCGCGGATGTTTTTAAGGGCTTCATCATCGGCGAAAATCCAAAAATGCTTTTGCGTACTAGTTGTGAACATGTTTCTGTTTTATCGGAGCGGCTTTGCTTTTTATCAGAAATTTTCTTGAGTCTTTAAATAGATCTAATTAAACATTTGTGTTCGAAATAATCCAGCCAGAGTAACTTTGGAGAAAGTTCGTCCAGAACCGATTGACTGACTATTCCCACGTTGTCTCACTCCGCTCCTTCTTATGCGATTCTACTTTCTTCGATTTATAATAGTACGTATGGAATATGTACATAGTTGGAAGAACCATAATTCGTGGAATATCGGGCTAAAAAGCAATCTTTAGGTGTGCAAATTTAGAAACTGTACACCATGAAAATGTGTAAGCCATTTAAACATGCAATGAAGCACAAGAAAAAGAAACATGTGCATGTAAAGTTAAAGTTACACAGTGTAACTTTAAATTTACTAAAGGCAGTTCAAATCAATTGACTTGACAAATCTAATGGGAAGCAACATTGGAAAGACTGGTGAAGCTACTAAATAACTTTGATTGAAGCCCTTCACTTTTTTACAATCCAATTTCACAATCTGTTTTATTGTGACAAAGGTGTCGGAGTTATTCGGGGAATACAACTCATTGCGGAAACTAGAACAATGTTGGACCCCAGCAAAGTCAAGATATTGAACGACCTGGAAAGCGGAGAAGCGATTAGCATGCTTGAGGCAAAAAAAGTGGTAGATTTGTCGAAACAACTTCATAAAGAGGTATTAAAACTGAAAGGAGACTTTCTCCAACCGGATGGCAGTGTGAAATACGCAGAATTAAGAGAAAGTTTAGGATTTATCGAGTTCCAGAAAAATTGCAGCGGTTTGAAGAAGGTGGATATATTCTCTCTGAATGAAATCGAGAAGAAAACATTCTTCATCAACATTTACAACACTCTAACGATTCATGCATTCGCCCAAAATGTGTCGGATCAGAAAAGCGTTCTGCAACTGGAAAAATTTTGGCAAATGTACGCCTACAAAATCGGAGAGCTACAATTCTCCCTGGATGACATTGAACACGGTGTATTGAGGTGCAACAAGCTTCATCCGACGTATAAGGACTACTTTTTCAAAGTAGGGGATCCACGAAGGGCTCTTGTTATGTCGGAGTTGGACCCAAGAATCCACTTCGCACTGAATTGTGGCGCAATGTCTTGTCCACCCCTCCGATTATTTTCTGCTGACAATCTGGATCAAGGTTTGGACATTGCTGCAAAGAACTTTTGTCAGAATGACGTTCATGTAGAAGTAGAGAAGAGAGTAGTGATGGTGTCAAAAATACTGGATTGGTATCGAGAAGACTTTGGTCCTGATCAGAAAGCTATTGTCCAAAAAATTATGCCTTATTGTAAACCAGAACAACAATCAGATTTCCAGAAAATCCAAGAGAACTTTAAGCTCTCATTTTCTGAATATGATTGGAGTATTCATTAGAGGAGATGAAGATCAAATCGCATTATTTTATTATCCTAATGATGTTTAAAAATGTATTTTTAAAAATTGGGAATGAACCAGAATTTATGATAACTATTTTTCTCAACTGTTTATAAGGATAATAACTTGAAACTCGAATTTATTTCTAAATAAAATACATAGATGTACAAAATCGTTGTTGTGACCAATATGCGCTGCTGAATATTATTTAAATTAATAAAATAAATATTTGTTCTAACGATTTGAATAGTATTGATAAACTTCTCTGACTACAGATCTTTCTAATTCAAAATCATACTCATATTGCGTCCAATCTACTTGATTCCTCCTATTTATATCATTCACCTGAAACGCGTTGTATATAGTTGGTGGGATCGGCCTTAAATCGTTGCGTAAAACAAAAGGAACATGTTTCAAGGCTTCATGTATAGGATCAAGCGAAGTAGGCTCTGTTGAGTGGTGATAATTAGGGTGGGCAAGAGGGGTTGGTAGGTGTGGATACATTCCTGAAGGACAAGGAGGATGGCCAGCAGAGGAACTGGGGGATGGAGAATAAGGCAGGTAACTAAATGGCACAGAGGGTTGTTCTACTCCAGAATAAAATGAACTTCGACCCACGCAAACAAATTCTTCTTCAACCACCTCACCCTCTTCGTCCACTTTCTTCTTCTTTGAAGCTGATGAACCAGACCCTTCGAGAGTAATGATGGGTTGTCCTGTCGTGGAAGTAGACACCAAGTCTTTGGCTTGTTGTGACAGCCAACTGAACATTCTGATCTCTCGTAACGGCAAACAAATTTATTTCCGTATCCTATTGATTAGAATATAAATAATTGAAATGGATTAAAGCTTCAATGTAGAATTAATTACTGATGAAGCAAGAATATTATTGTATCTCAATATTGGGTTCATATCTGTATCAATAAACTATAAGGAGGCTAACAATAAGTTGCAGTGAACAGGCTTAAAATTTTGATAGCTTCTTTTTGCAGAATGCATTAAATATGACTTAAACGGCTCGTGGATCAATTTTCTTTGATTTTGAACTTCGAATTTCTTCCAAAAATGATTTCATGTTTTGCATCGAAGTTCCACCGAGTACAACGCAGAGGCGATTCTCAGCTCGATTGATGTTGTGGATCGCTAATGCTTCTTCATAGGTGATACCCCCGATTACAAACACAATAATTTCCGATGGACGAAATGTGGGATCCACAGGAGCACTGCCACTGCCCATTCTTCCAGAAGATGCGTTGAAATATGGCAGCTGGTCTTTGGCTTTCCCTTTCAGCAAATCTTCAATAATACTTTTCATCCATGGGACATGCTGAGTATAAATATTTTCTACTCCTTGAAGCCCTTTGATGAATCGCTTGGTTTGTGCAACTGGGTCAGATCCAAACAAGTCCGACTTTCGTTTCTTGACACCGCCGAATTTTAGTAAAGCTTTGACCAACGATATGTTCTCCTCTGAAATACCCCTTGCTTTCAGTTTGGTCACCAATCCCATTATGTCATTGTTGGAATGTGCTTCGTACTTTAGGGCATATAAAAGAACAAGTCGAAGGGCATCAACATCCCGTATTTTGCTGTTTGATATAAGTTGCTTCAGTCGCTGGAGATTTTGAGAATGATTGGCATGACATGCGATATCCTGTTCTAATTCTGAGACTTCTAGCAAGTGGTACTTTTCATTCAATCGAGCAAGCTCTCCAACCACTGCTACATGCTTTGACACCGTTCCCGACATTTGCTTAAAGTGAGGGTAATTCTCAATAAAATTCTTCATGTCGTCAATAGATTCAACTTTTTGATGAGATTTAGCTGTTTCCTGAAACCGTTCCACTAGAGCACGTAGACTTTGACCCACGCTGTTTAACACATCAAATATATGTATTATGACATAATTGTTGTCCGAGGTTTATAATAATGTGTCACATACCTGCCAAAATCTGCGTAGAGGTTTTCAGCAAAGAAACGGTCATTTTCTGGGGATAGCACAACTTCCTTAAAGTCCTTTGGTATATCTGTATAAATATTATTCCAATTTTAGTGAAATATCAAAATCGATAAAACATGGTAGTTAATATGCAATTTAGTGTTGTATTAATATTTTATATGCTCATTAATTAAAATACTACGCACAAAAACATACCTGGGGCATCGGCAAGGCTAACTCGATGGTTTTTGATTGTTAATAGTTCGTGAACCATTGCCTGATAAGTCCACTGATTCAAGAGCGGTGTGACACAATCGTCTCTGCGGTCTAGGATAAGTAAAACAGGTTTTCCTTGGCGTTGTGAAAAGTCGAAAAGATTTGACTCTTTATTCATCAAGTTGGAAAATTTGTCGGCAATTTTTTGACAAGGGAGTGACCATTCCGTGAACCGGATTAAAGGTGCCTTTTTAACTGACAGTACATAGCTCATTAAAGCCAGCGCAATATTTTGCGCCGTCTTATCATCTATCAAATCCACCTCCGTAAAGATTGGTCCATGAGGAATGTTGCTAATGAATGTATGAGGATTAATTGGAATGTAATCTGCAAAATATTCGACAATTTCTCGCACAACTTCTTGCTCGTCTGCCTCAGCCAGGCGCTTGACATCTGATTTTGAGATGACATTGCTCCAATGCAGAAAATAGGATCCATACAAAGGTGCTCGCAATTCCTGAGAAAGTAGGTTTATATTTTCTTCCGTTGGACGAAGAAAAGTTAAGCACTTGAGATGACGGAGTGGTTCCCGATTTTTGAAGTTATCCAGTCGGTCGCACAAATAAACTTCTTTCTGCATAATTTCCGACTGAGAGTATACCATTGAAATTACTCCTGTTGTTTTCGCATCCATCAATAGTATTTTCATTCCTAGTAATACATTTCAGATTGTTGCTTCACATTCTAAAATTACTCATTTTCATTGTTGGATCTATTATTGCTTACCGGGCCCACTATTTTGAATCATTTTATCCACATACTGACGAATAGCCAAAACTGTATTCATTTTGTTAGTGACTGTTTGTCGTGGTATAGTGAATAATGCTGATTGATTATGTAGGGTCGCGAATAAATGTTACGCCACGCCCACAAGATGACGGATGACGGATGGTTGGCTTTCTTTCTACAATTTCCACATATTAATCCAATCAATGGAAATTGTCCCAGTTTGAAATTGGTTGGAAAATTTATCAGAATATATGACACAACAATTAGTCTAATTATAGCATTTCCGACTTTTGATAGTTACATATGAACACCAACAATTTGAGATACAATAATAAACACGACATGCTAATTTATCATTGCTAAATACTGAAAATGAAAATCACTAAACGCACTCACCTCTTTGTAATTACAATCAACTCGGAAAGACTACCAAATGCACGGTCGGAGATTCAGATTTCAACGTTTCATTCCTAAAAAATCAAAACTCCATTTTTGTACAATCCTTGCTAAATTTAATAGTTGTAGTTTTATTTTTTAATAACTAGACAATGAAACTCACCTTTCAACACTTTGAAGGAATTAGAAACGAATGATGTCGCAAGTAACAGATAATATCAGACTTTTAAACGTTGTTGATTGAACTAAACATGATAATATTGATTTAAGTCAATTTACGTGGTGCTACTGATGAAATGAAATGTCGATCAAGATCAACTGACTGCAATGACGAATTCTGGGCATATGCTGACCAATGTTTCATGCAAACAATACGTGTGCATTGGAAACGGGGAGTGTGATTCTCAATCGTCTCACTTTTCCCATCACACAACTCATGCTTTCACTCTTACACTCTTTCACTCTTTGTACTCATCATAACTTTCTCGTATTAAATAATTAATGCCATTAGATCATTTTAGTAATGGACTTCAAGTATCTTTTAATCACTCCAAATATTGTAATTGAAATGCTCAAAATAATTCAATTATTTATTTCTCTCATATTATGTAATGTATGTGTGTGGACACGATTAGACATGTCATTTTAGTTAGAAATTGAGTATCATCGGGCTATTCTATTCGTTAATCCAACACGGAAACTTGGTTTCGTATTTTTTGGTTGAGTTTCATCATTAGAAGATGTTTCTTCCAGAAGTTTGGAATGTAATCCTGAATACAAAAGAGCTGCTGATTTTCCATTCTCGAGAAGACCTGCCAGGTCACTTTCACTTAATTTGGCGATGCTGTCCAATGAGTCCCCCCTGCCGAGAAGTGCGTAAACATTTCTTGAATCTACGCCAGGCATTTTTGAGAGAAAATTATGTGATATTGGATTATATTTCGAAGTTGAGTGTATTCCAGTAGATTCTTTTTGTATACTGAGGGCTTTCTCCGCGTCCGGTTGATCTTTCCCTCGTTTGAGCTCCTGCAAACACAAAACAATTAAAATCAAATCATTTCTGACTTCAAGAAACAAATATTAATTAGAGGTTACATGAAATAGTTCTGCAGTATAATGAGCACCAGGTGACCAAATCAGTCTCAGCTTGGGGAAATTCATTGTTAACACCTGCAATATTAACAAGGAACTCATATAATGCAATTAAATGTAAAGTATCCATTCAGTCAGAATGTAGGTCTAATTACTCTCCAAAAACTATTTTGACTGAGACTGTGTCATAATAACACTTATATGTATTTACCAACCTGTAGCTTTGCCATAATTTGAGCAAGATCTAATAAATTCCAATAATACAATAAACAGTAAGCATCATGTTATGCAGTAATGACATGTTTAATAAATAAATATGTACCATTTCTATAACGTGACCCAGACGCAACACTTGTGGCTTGTTGTTCATGCTCAATAAGCAAAACAGCTTTTTTGTAATGCCTTGTCATCGCCTCCGCTTGTTTGTAAAGTCGGCCAGAGTTTAAACTCCCCACAAGGTCAGAAATTGATTTTCTTTCAACGCAAATATCAGGTGTCAAAATATAATCTATAAATTAAAATTGATCCACACATTTTCAAACTTCAAATATTCTTCCAGCCTATTTCAAATTACTTAGAGTATCAAAGTCTTTAATAAACCTCCAACATCAAGTGTTATAGGTTCCAAATCAATTCCTCGTTTGTGAATCAATGATGGCAACTCTGATCTAAACTCTCTCATGTCAACAAGGATAACATGCTGAACTAATAAAATAACAGAAATCATATATTCATCAATCCAGTCAATGATAAATCTGATTTTATATCTATGTGTGTCCGTTACTATTGTCATCATTCTGCATGTTTCGTTTAGATAGTCCTCCAACACTAATAGTTTCATTAGCTTTCGAAGGATCTCTCCATAAATCCTGATTCAATTCATCCTTTGCTTCTCTCTCGTTAGGAACAACCTGCCGGATTTAGCATCGAGAGTCTTGTTTAAATTTACGTTCACAAGACATGTTTGTTTTAAGTATTATAATCTTACCATTGTATCCTTTTCTCTAATTAATGCCTCAAATGCTCGTTTTTCTCGATGAATTGAGTTTAAGTAAATCTGCTCCTCTACAGAATTGTGAAATGAGAGAAAGTACACCTTGATAGCTTGAACGTCTGAAACTCTAGCTCGATGAACTTCTATTGTCCTGATCAATTCAAGGCCTAAAATATATGTAAGAGTACAGTCAGAAAGTAGGTATATAATAAATTATGATTTTCTATACATAGAAAATACTTGAATTACAGGGATCGAAAATAATGATAACATCAGGCTTCAGCTGGTCCAGAGTTTCTGATACAGCAAACGTCTCATCACTGAATTTTAGGGGACGAATAAAAACGGGAGTTTGTAAAAATTCAATATCTTCGTATTTTCGTTCAATCTGAGTTAAAGTAATTTGAACTTCTGTAGGGCCTCTTGTTTGATTTTTGACATCGTTATCTTGGTCATTCTGGACACCTTTCTGGGCATTTCCTCGCTTATATCTTTTAACACCTCTATGGTCATTGGAAATATTGTCAACTTTTACTTTAAGTTCCTGTGATAATTCTAGCGTAATATTATCGCAGTTTTTAACAATTTTGGCTAAAGTCGATTCACTCCCATGACACAGGTAATCTTTCAAAACAGTACAAGTTTTTACATCTTCAGTAAATATGAGCGTCTTGAGTTTAGCTACGAAAGTTTCACTTTTGTCATCATTTTCAGCAGGAGGTTCTTGAATGGTAGAATTGGATATTTCTTTCAAGATTTCACTTAGTGCTAACCACTTGGGATGAACTTCAGGTTCAAAATCATTTGTGACTGATGACTTTTTATCATTTCCCAGTTGCTTTGTTTGTTTGCTGTTGCATGGTGGGAAAACTCTAGAACGTGCTGTTGTGATGACCTGTTCTGCAGCTTTTGTCAATACCCAAGAGGACTTAAACACTGCATTTTTAGAAGTATATTGGCACAATGTCGAAAAAAATGTTATACAATCAGCCTTCGTCAGTTGGGTAAGTAGTAATCTAAATATTTTCATGTCGTTCAGAATTTCTTTTGATTTTGAGCTAATCGTATTCCAAACGGGGTCCACGTAAGCAGCAACGATTTTTTCGAATCCCTTCGTTAAAGCACTCTCCACTGTAACTTCCTCATCATTCAGAGCAGGTACCAATCTTTTTAACTCACTAATGGACCAACTGACTAAATCGCTATATCGAGTAAATATGCAATTAGAATAATAAATTAATAAATTAACAATAATTTATATTACATACTACTTACAGCAAATTTGATTGTATTTCTCTCATGGAGTCTGTAAGACGTAACTGAATCTCTTCAACATCGGGGGGTGCCTTGGCAAGAGATTGCTTGACGGAAGCATGAAATCTTGGCCAGAGGGAAACATTTGCTAAAAAACAACACCTCATCACCCTGTTCAACTTTGAGAATCCCAAAAGGAAAGAACCAGGAGACTGTGAAAAAGCCTTGATAAACCCAGTTTTATTTTTGGATCTGAACAGCCGTAAAATGAATGCTTCCTAAACACAAATATATAACAATTGGAAATAACTCATTCAACGGCTACAAAACTATATCTTTGGTAAAAATAGTAATCATTATATAGACTGAATGTTTAGTAACCTGAGAATTTTCGACGACGTTGTGTGCTCTGAGTACGATCATTCCAGTTATTTTATCCGCAGGGATGACGTCTTTCAAAAAGTCCACAACTAAGATCCGTGATCTGTATAAAGGCAATATTCTATTCTACTATAACTTGTATAAAATTTGTGTTATGTATAACTTGGACTCTTCATAGGATATAGGATATGGCACATTGCACATTTGACATTGTTATGTTATTATTATCGCTACTCATACCTGGCTCATGAGCCCTCAGAATATCTGTAAACTATTTACTTATCTAATAATATCACAGCATTATGTGATATGCTCGGACTAACAAATCAAAATTGCAACTATTTACTTACGTAACGAAAAACACACCTCCGTGGCCATATAAATCCTTTCGTTCTGATGCACTAAATTCTGTCGTAATCGACATAATTTTATCGTTTGGAAGTTTGTCTATAAAATACTGATCTTCATTTGGATTCGAAGAGAGGACAAAAACCAGGTTGAGCTCCGATGAGTACGCCTTGAAGATATTTTTCAATACCTACGCATTCAAGTACACAACATTAACATTAATCCATTCAAATACAATTTAAAAAAAATCATCATTGCTTCATTAGCTTGCTGATAATACTTATATAATAATAATAATGAATCTAAATTACCAAGTTCAAGGGAATCCCTTTGGCAAAGATGTTCAATTGATGTTCCTGGACGGAATTTAGTAAAATTTCATTCTCGTATTCCAGCATGATATAAATTTAGAATGCTGCAAAATTTGAAATTTTTGTGAATTGGAAACGAACGACAAGAGAATGTTTGTAAATACACAGCGTGGTGTACGAACTGCGCGGTGGCCGGTGTGGGTATGGGCAAAGTCGGTCAAAAAGAGTCGGTGATTCATAATTCCACCCTTTCCACAATCAGCCACTAGCCACTTCCTGTCCTGCCTGTCAATTACTATTTATTTAACAGCAATTAATTTTCCAGATGACGTAAAAAAATCAGGGAGGACGGCACTAACAGTTTACTTTAGATTAAAAGACTTTTCACTTTGTTCATTGCATTGAATAGTTTTCTTCAATTCTGTCCATTGTTGACTTGTTGTAGTTTACCACCTAGTTTGTAAATTAAAGAAATTAAGCGGAATTGCTCAACATGGTTGACAAGTTCAGCTTTGGTTTGGATCCCATCACTTGTCATGCTTGGAATAAGGACAGAACCCGTAAGTCAAGTATTTACAATTGTAATTGTAATAATCCTCGTACAAATGTCTAATAAATTCTGTATGGTATTAGAAATTGCAATTTCGCCAAATAGTCCTGAAGTCCATATTTACAAGCGAACTTCAAACGATTGGATATTGGTGGACGTGTTAAAGCAACACGATCTTCGAGTCACTGGAATCGACTGGGCCGCAAGAACTAATCGAATTGTCACTTGTGCTGCGGTAAAATAAGTCATCCTTGTTTCTGTAAAAATTGGACTACAGAATTATAGTGTGTACTTGTATTTTAAATAGGATCGAAATGCTTATGTGTGGTCACAAGACACACCAGATCAAAAATGGAAACCGACGCTTGTACTCCTCAGGATCAATCGGGCTGCAACGTGTGTAAAATGGTCACCACTTGAAAATAAATTTGCTGTAGGATCAGGAGCTCGCCTAGTTTCTGTACGTATTACCGTTTTAACCAAGGGCTTGCTATTTTGCATCCTTTCTATTCATCCGTAAATTGTTGTCCTTGTGTCACACTCACAGGTGTGTTACTTTGAACAAGAGAATGATTGGTGGGTCTCTAAGCATATTAAGAAAACTATTCGCTCGACTGTTACTTCCATTGACTGGCACGCCAACAACGTCCTAGTTGCTTGTGGGTCAAGTGACTTTAAGGTATTTCTTTTAATTACTTAATAAATACCAGTCTTTAGACATTTAATGGTTGACTCGTGATTTGATATTTGTCATAGGTTCGGATATATTCCGCATACATTAAGGACATTGAAGAAAAACCACAACCAACATGCTGGGGGGCTAAAATGCCTTTAGGACAAATGATGGGAGAATGGGTAAAACAGTTTTGTTACAATGTATAGAATAAAATGCCCATCCCCAGTATCCCCACTACTAGTGGAAAAAGTGACACTTTTGCAGGAAGGATAGAATGGAGTCTATATTTGTAACTAGCAGACTATTAGAAAAGAAATTACATCACAATAGTGATGAATATCTGAATATGTCGTACAAAAATTACTTTTGATCATTCAAATTATATACATATATTAATGATTTGTTTTTATTTAAAAAATAAATGTTTTTGTGCAGCCAAACAGCCCCGTTGGTGCAGGGGGATGGGTCCATGATGTTTCTTTCAGCCATAATGGAACTCGATTGGCATGGGTAAGTACAAACATTGCGTCATATCATATGACATAATATTATTGATAAGTGGAGAGCTCAAACTCAGGGAGCTGGTGTAGTTTGAAAATCATCATACTCATATTCCTGTTCTGCTTCCTTAATTGGAGAAAGAAATTGGTCCCATAGCTGATCATTTCGTTGGTAGTCAGATACTGCATCCGAACAGTGGTACTGTAATAACATGTGTACATGTATTAATAGTAATTATAGGAATTATAATTAATTGGTTAATGTTGATTATTAGTAGTATTATTACATTGTACCAATGGTCACAAACAAACGTGATTTGATTGAAAACTGTCCCGATTCCACACAGCATTGAATATTTACGCCCATCGGGCATGCACATGTGGTACACCTAAAAAAATAATAGCAGAGATAATTGTTAAAGCTAATGTGCTAATCTAAGAATAGTGGTACTATATGGCAGGACACGAGGGAGAGATAAATTAAAACTGCTTTTACTTGACATTTTGACAACGGTGATGGATCTGTGTAATATCCAGGGGCGCGACCTCTGCATGAAAAGTCCAACCCTGATGGTATCCACACTTTAGAAGGTATCGGGTCGTCATCAATGTCATTATCCCCGAGAACAGAGGACGTCGTACTAGATGTTGCCTCCATGAAGGAACGAATTCTCAAATTTCTTGATCTTACTTTCTGTTGCGCTGGCACTTCTGGACTTTGATATGAGGGTGATGAAGTCAATGCAAAATTTCTCGGCACCGAAATATGTTCTGATTCTACAACATTCAAGAGCAGTCCGACAAGAACACCCATAATAGTTATTGAACTCATGCTTAAAGTTTTTCTCTCCTACACTTACACGTGATTAGACTGATATTGATGTGAAACTGAAATATGAGCTTTGTTGACAGGTTTTTATAGAGAAACGCATTCGTAAGATGCATGCATTTCCTTTCGCACCCTCAAACAAACTAGTAATCAATTTCATCATTAGCACTTGAATAAAATTTAAATGACTTAAATTCATGTCACACCATTATCAAGCTCAAACAAACTTACCACCACAACATATTTATTTAATTAAAAGTATTCGACCACTTGAAGTATTATTGACTTAGTGGAGAATCAACATAAATAAATATATGTGTAAACTCTTTCGTGTGCGTGCTGTTCCATATTGCTTAATATTGTGACATCATTTGAAAGATTGGCCATCCTTAGAATTAGTTTGTTTGCATACTAAGGTACTTATTTGAAATGTGTTCACTGATTGTGCGCATATTACGCGTTACAGATTGGCCATGATTCATCAGTTACCGTTGTCGATGGAGAATCTGGAACGTCATCATACTTGAGGTACTTAATACGGATAACTAATAATAATAATTTGAATATTCATTTAAAACTCCCTGTTTCTTGTATTTAATATTTTCTTCCAAAATAGAACTGCATATCTTCCATTCTTAGCATTGATTTGGACCACACCGGATACCATCGTTGCGGCCGGACATCAACTGACTCCTATTATGTTCAAAGCTACGAAGTCACCAAATGCTATCCAAGTTGAATGTGTTGGGAAAGTTCAACAAACAGAGCAACGCAGGGAACAAGGTGGCATTTCTGCAATGAAAAAATTCCAGTCCTTGGACCGGCATGCTAGGATTATAAACGAAGAGGTATGCAATTTGGCCTGAACCACGGCTTATGTGATCATTATTTTTATATTTTGTGTCTGGTTGAATATATTGAATAATGGTTTTATTTGTTCTTTTACTACTTATAAGTATATATTTATAATATATATAACCTATAACATGAATAAGAACTCTTCGCATATTCATTCATATAAATTGTTTTGCTGATTTAGGAAATGGAGTTAGATTCCCATCATCAAAATACCATCACTGCCATCAAGATTCACACAGGCTCAAAAGAAAATGCTGTCAAGATATCTTCGTCGTCTGTTGACGGACAAATAATTCTCTGGGATCTTAGTAGTCTTGTAAGACAAATGAAAAACTTGGGGTTGTAAATTATTAATTCCAGTTTTTGTGTGCCCTTTTTCAATATGTATAAAAAGCATGACAATGTAAGAAAAATTGAGTTATTTCTGGTGATATTTGTTTAAGAGTATTCAACACTTATTATTGTGTGTTTAATATCTGCTCTACTTACTAAAGGAGAATATTAATAATTACTATCGTATTGGGAGAAATATCTAAGTATGCAATTTGCAATCAATAGTTCATTTATCTGAATGTATTCTTTCTCGTACCGTGTGAAATTTATGGGTCGTTTGTATTACTAATTGGATACTAAACATTTTAAGTTATTAACGTACGCAGCAAGCGGTGTAAGATTAGTCAGTAAATTGAATAAGAATAAACCAACCGTGTTCTACTTTCGGTCATATAACATAGAAAAACTAAAACTATTAGTATAAAATTAGTTGCAGACATTTTGTTGGTCCTGATTTGACATTCTTCCAACAATAATATCCTCCTGCATGACTTGAAGGGGTTTCGATAGCAGTCGAGGTCCTGCCATTATCACCGCTAGTTCACCTAGCGGCGCAGTTAACAAAATAACCAGCACTGCGAGAGTTAGAACTTGTAATCCTAAATTTTCATCGTCTATATTTCCAGATTTTTGGGCCAGATCCAGAGCCTGTTGAAAAATGGGATTTGAATGACGTTTCCGAAGAATTATGAATTCAACTTTATATTCGTCGAGATTGCATAAGCGCGGGCTCACAATCCCAATATTATAATTTCATACTGATTAACCAGCATTAAATTAAAATTATGTCACCTACCATTGGTCCAATGGCTGCCTGAAATTATTGTAGGCGAATAAGGATACATTAGTTACAAATGTTATTTATGCATTTTAGACTCGGTACCATCACCTGAACAGTAGCTTTGGGAGTCCAAGCAATGCTAAAAAATATGCGTTCTTTCAGGGATAGCCCACTTTTAGTTACCATTATGAATGTGGTTCCAAATCGTACCTATTTTGAAAGTCTTGTTACATATGCCGTGTAATGTCATATCATTAATATTATGTACATACCACCGACCCAACAACCAAACACCCGATTCCAAGAACTACAACATTTTTATCAAGAGTTTCAACCACAATTTGACATCCGATGACGCCAAACAACAATGGCTCAAAAAACTTCCACAAGAATGTAAACATCCATCGTATAGTCTCCTTTCAAAAAACAAAGTAACGCGAACACCATAGATTATTTTTCAGTAAGAAATCCTCTCATCATATTATTAGAGGCAAGCCAAATTCAATATTTATACACTTACAAAATCGCTAACTGCACCTCGCTTTTTCCAGAAGCACGCAGTCGTGAAAGACGAAATGAGACAACTCAGAACCCCTGCGCCTGAATATCCCAATTTGTTGTATCCTAAAACGGATGCTACCGACCCTCCAAGAACCATCAACAGTTTAAAAACCGTGTTATCCCAATTCTTCTGGAATATAAAGAGTGATTTTCATATCACAAATATTTGTGTATATTAGTAAAATCGGACTACTTGTCCACTTTCCACAGAGGAAGGAAAGACAATTCCGGTGAAAGCTCCCCACATCAGCCCAGTGCAGCATCCCAATAAGATTTCCAGGGGTCCTTGCAGAATTGTCAGTGCTAAACTTTTGGTAGAGAACGTGAACCCGATGCAAACTCCGAATAGAGCAATAGCGACAATACTGAATTTAGAAAAAAATGACTCGTTCAGATTCCATAGTTTTGATCGATTCGATACGAACAAGGAAGCTTGCGTCGTTTTACTTACTTGTCCAAGCTTGCCGCAGCCAAAATGATGGTTGGAATACCTTTCTCCACTCCATAGCCCTGCTCCTTCAATATCAAAATTCGAGGGACGATCACTGCTGGCGAGACTGCTGCAATTGAAAAGCTTTTAAAGCGAACATGATTTTGAATGAGGAGTAAGAAAACTCATATCTGTAGGAAACTGAAGGTTAAAAGTACCCGACAATGAGCGACCACAACCAAGGAAATCCAATTATGAAATGCACCAAGATTCCAACAACGCTGGCTGAATAATTTATGAATATTATGAGCCAATCTAAATCTTCTCTTTGAAATACCTTAAAATTCACCTTCAACCACCGTTGGAAAAAATGCTAATCGAGCCACGAGCCATTTAAACTTTAATAAAACGTCCAAGTCCAGACCGAGTCCAGCTCTTGTTAAAATTACGGCTAGCGAAAGTTGTCTAAAAAATGATGTATTTCTTTAATAAAAGATTTTTGCCAATTGCGCATCACTACACGCACTAGTAGTTCTTCGGGATGCAGATACCTTATTGGTGAAGCAACTGTCGAAGGCAAATATTTTCCGAAATCGATGTAAGGCACATTTCGTATGACGATTCCTAATCCCAGCATTCCGACCATGGGTGGCAAATGACATAAACTGGCAAAATACCCTATGCATTTTATATAACATTTTATTTTTCAATTGATAATTACTCATCTTAATATTTATTTTCTGCAAGCCGGATTTTTATGTTACCAGTTATTCGTCCTCCGAACTCAAGAAATACGATTACGAAAACGATGCCACCTGGAAGATTGTCAGCCCCCACAATGGTGTAAACGGACAACCATACCAAAAGTGAGGTTACCATTGACATAAAACTGTCAAAGATAATTGGGGGAAGAGAAAACGTTTTAATGTATCTTGTAAACTTGGACTCCGGTTTATCAGTGGAAACGGGTGGATTGATTGGGATTGACTGATACGTTGTATTGGAAGATGCCATTGTAGTGCCAGAATTTTTAGTTTTTGTCGATGTTGACAAATCTGTTGTTAATCTCGATTGTTGGGGTTGAGAACTCTCTTCTTCCAGATCAATTGTGTTTGAAAAGACGTTAGGTTGTGCTTCGGTTTGAAATGGCTTAAGATTGATTCCAGACATGGTGATCTTTGGGATTTTAACGAGTTGGATGAACAGGAAATATTCAGATGGCTTTGTAAATTAGGAAAGCGCAGAGAATTGCTAAACTGACTTAAACTGTATTGATTGATTGAATAGATTGAGATGTGAAAACCTAATTACACAAAATTGAACGAAGCTCTAAACGATAGTTTAATGAGGCTTGATAAGAAAAATTGACGATTGTCAAAATATCTTGCACGTGATTCCTTTATGAGATCATCCTTCCAAGATTATTCGACCCTTTATCACTCTTGTATTTATCTGTTTACTTGACAATCTTTAACAATTTAACCTGAGTGTCAACAACACAATCAGTTGAATTAATAATATTTACCTCCAGTTATCATAAACTGAACAAACACCACCGCGATTGGGTAAATCATTTATCACGAAAATTATTTTCAGGTTAAGGTTGCGTGAGCACCGGTAATTTATGGAAGAAAGGATTTCGTGCTACTTGTTTTGTCATAAATGCCCGTTACATATTTACAATTCAGTTATTCTGCATGATTTCGTAATCCTGAAATAAACTAGTCAATGTCAGTTACCATTGTATAGTAGGAGTTATGAAAACATATTATTTAGTTGGTGAAATATTAGAGAAACGCATTCATCGTTATTAAGTATGTATGTAGATCGAGAAATATGGCGTTTCAAAGTTTATCAGTAATGATTTATTCATTAGGAAAATCATTCCCAGTCTATTATTGGAATATGCAAATGAATGTCCAATGTTGTACAATTCAGTTTTGCAATTGCTACTTATGCAGTTTTGTAATAAAACACAAAAACTCAAAAGCATAAATTCTCTCTTTATCTCTTATAGCATATCGCTACTGTTCGGAAGACCAATCTATGCACACCGATTTTTTTGCAAATACATGCATATTGATAGCACTTGATAGCAACAATGTTATATTCAATTTCCTTAAATAAACTTGAATGTAAATGTGAATATGTGTATGTACACATATTATGCTGAAATTACATAAGTCACAAAAGGTGGTCGACACCACTGACACCAGCATATGCATACTCATACTAATGAGTATCTAAAGTGGTGTTTATGCTTCACGTCATCGTCACGTCCTCCTTCAAATCCGATTTTTTGATTGGCTGAACTAAATTATCACTACGACAATTAAAAATTTTAACCAATCAAAAAATCGGATTTGGAGGAGGACGTGACGATTACGTGAAGCATAAACGCACCTTAAGGGAGCGTCCATAAATCACGTGATCGATTTTTGGACAATTTTGACCCCCTCCCCCCCTTGGTGACCGGTGGTGATAATTTCGCAACCCCCCCCCCACCTGTCACGTGACAGGAGATGATGCTCATATTAAATCATGCTGACCGGAATAACAATATTTTTTAAATCATTAATCAAATTAGAGCTACATACACAAGAATTTAAGTCGAAGCAAGTTTCTAAATATGCAAAATGAGAATCTAATTTATATAATGTGCTTGTGGTATGCAAAGATAGTTTATATATAACTGTCAGGACATTTATTGGCGTATACAAAAGCTAAAAAAAACTTTACGCATGTCACGTGACATCTGACCATCTACCCCCCCCCCCCCCCCCGTGATAATTAATGACAAATTTCAGACCCCCTCCCCCCTCTAATCCATCACGTGATTTATGGACGCTCCCTAATACGTCATTTTGTCTTATCTATGCCAAGATGCTAATTCATTCTACTCAGAAGTATGGTGATACATGTATTGAACAAGACACAAGCAGGACAATGCATACATAGATTACAGCTAATGAGACAACTATAATGAAAAGTCCGTGTAATACCGATTTGGAAATATTTGTAGTGAAGAACGTAACTTACAACTTTTAGACATACATATTACATACATTATTAAATTGCGATACATTATTTTAATTACAACAATTTTATAATAACGACAAGAACTATTTGAGAATGCCAAGTCCCCATGTAGTAAAGCACGTAATAAAATTACGTAAGCAAATAGGATTACTGGAAGCAACGTCGATAACGGTTGGATCTATTATCGGTTCCGGTCAGTGCATATTTCAGAACCAAGAACAAGAACATAAAAATTCCAAATTTTATTCTACTGAATTTGTAGGAATTTTCATATCTCCAAAGGGTGTAATTGACAACGCCGGTTCAGTCGGACTTTCTCTGCTCTTGTGGATTCTGTGCGGACTCCAAGCTGGTCTGGGAGCAATTTGCTATGCAGAGTTAGGAACCTCTCTGCCTGGGTCAGGTGGCGATTATCATTATCTAAACAAAGCATTCGGAAATCTTCCAGCTTTCACCTTCCTCTGGGTCTCCAACATAATTTTACTGTACGTACATATTAATTACGTATGTATAAATGTCTGCTTAAATTATTTTGACGGTATCTATCTCCCTGTGTGCCCAGACCGGCCAGCAATGCGGTCATGTCCCTGACGTTTGCCCATTATACCTTTGCGTCGTTTTTTAACGAAGATTGCAAAATACCACAATTTGGAGTCCAGCTCTTGGCATGTTGTGCCGTCTTATTCTTGACTTGGTTTAATGTCACCAATGTGAAGGCTATGACAAAAATGCAAAACGTGTTTATGATCGGCAAAATTGCCGCACTGATTGTAATCATTTTTGCAGGAGTTTATTCCATAGCTCAAGGTTATCAGCGTAATTAATTAAATTAACGCCAATTAATGCTATGAGGACGATGATAATTATTTTAAACACATTGTCAAACTAAACGTAGGACATACCAAAGGTTTTGAGAATATTTGGAAAAACACAACAACGGAACCTGGGAAAATTGCAGTTGGCTTTTATTCGGGGACATTTGCATATTCAGGATGGAATGCACTATGCTACATTACAGAAGAGTTGAAAAGCCCCAACAAGAACCTTCCACGAGCAATATACATTTCAATGCCAATTGTCACATTAATCTACGTATTAACAAATGTGGCATATTTTTCAGTACTTTCACCGCATGACATTCATGCCTCGGACGCAATAGCAGTGGTTTGTTCAGTATATTTAAACAAGTGTATATGTTGATATTCGCGACTTAACACTGTGATATTTCCTAGACTTTTGGAAACAAAGTCCAACTTTTAAGACAAATCAAATGGATGATTCCATTATTTGTCGCAATGTCCAGTTTTGGCTGTCTATCTGTTCATATAATGTCAGCCTCAAGGTAAATTGTTTACATGGATGATGCACAATTATTTAACTTAAGGTGCCAGAAGAAGAATTTTAAATACTTGTATTTAAATGCAATTTTTAGAATCCTATTTGCTGGAGCCCGTAACGGTCACTTCCCAGGCATGCTTTCACTCATTCAAATGAATCAACTTTCACCAGTTTCCTCATTGATTTTTATGGTAATACACACTAGTAAAAATACAGATCTATGGCTGTCAATAGTCTGTTATAGTAAGTAGTAGTTTAATCACGATTCTGAACAAAATGTGCTTGTCTTTCCACTTCAAGGGGGGTTTAAGTGTCGTCTATCTGAGCATTCCCGACGTCTTTGTCCTCATTACCTTTGCAACATTCATATTCAGCTTGGTTTCGCTCGTAGTGGTCATTGCAATGTTGTACCTTCGGTGGAAACAACCCGAGCTGCCTCGACCAATTAAGGTAAACTGTTTAATTACTTTGCCCCAAATTATTGTATGGTTTGCCTCACACAAGAAACAAATGTTAAGGAAATGAATGCAATGATTTCTGCAGGTCCACATTTTATATCCACTAGGTTTCATGGTGATATGCATTTTCTTGACGGTATTTCCAATTTTTGTGCGACCCTACGAAGTGTTGATTGGATTGGCAATAACATTCTCAAGCATTCCTGTGTACTTGATGTTTTTTGTTCGAGAACAAAATAACAAGTGGCTTGTTAATAACACTTGTAAGGATTTTAATAATTTATATTTCTTCTTACAATCAATATTGTATGTACCATAATTTGCTTTATTCGTTCAGATAATGCTACCGTTGCAGCTCAAAAATTATTGTTAGCTGTGCCTGAGGAAGCTGAGGGATGATGCACTGACATGAACTTTTATAAATATAGACTGTGAAACTGGGAAATTATGGAGCTTTCTCTTTCTTAAATTAAACACACTTGCCCTCAGATTCGCCTTCAACGACATGTATGTCATAAATATGTATGCATGAAATACAATATTTATCGTCAAATTATTTTTTAAAAACCTACAGTGCAGACTCTATATAGCCCGAGTCAGGGACAGAGTCCCTGACTCGATAAGTCAGACTCCGCTTCTAAATTTTCAGTTAGGAACTAATTTTCTAAATCCAGAAGTGGTTTTTGGCCTCCATACCAAATTTCTGATGGAAATAGCAAGTTTTAAAAACGGTATGGGTCAGCCTCCAGGGTTACTCTGGTTGCAATTTACTCACTTTTAACTTCATATTATTTAATACGAAGCCTTTAAGTATCACCGTGCCGGAGTTCATCTTTTTAAAACAATTTCTAAAAATCGGTATGGGTCACCCCATAGGGTCGCTCCAGATAAGAATTTTACCAATTTCATGTCATATTCTTCTATTAAGACCCATTAGCAACCTCTCTACCAAATTTCAGCTTGTTATGACGATTTTGAAAAATCGGTATGGGTCACCCCATAGGGTCCCTCAAGATCAAAATTTTTCCAACTTGAAGTCATTTTTATCTATTAGGAGCCATTAGCAACCTCTTTACCCAATTTCAGCCTTCTACGACAATTTTGAAATCTTGATGCATAATACCCCACCCACCTAGATGACCCCCACTGGTCAACCACTTGACCGATTTCGCCCATCTTCGAACTCGTTTCCTAACTTTGTCCAATATGCATATGGTAAAAATTTCAAGTCATTCGGTTCAGCCGTTTTGGCTCTATCGTGCCGGACAGACGGACGGACGGACATGACGGTTCCATAAGCCCTGACTCGGGCTAAAAATGCAAAAGGGCATACCTTAACTCACGTAGTACAATAAACAATAAATTGTCAAACAGGGGTAAATTGTCAATACGTATATTTCGAGAGAGATCATGAAATCATTGTGGTTTCGGCACATATTTGGTATATTTATCAAAGTATTATAATAGCCAGGCAGTTGAAGTTAGTAAAGAGCGACAAAAAATTTGGGCATTTGGTGATAAGCGCATGCAAGATTCACGCAAACTTGTTGTCCCTGTTATAGTGCATGTGAGTTTGGTCTGCATTCCAACCAAAACTAAATCGAACTTCGGATTCGTCTATATCAAGGACACTCTGTTGTTGCTATTTGTAAGATGATGTTGTTGGAAGATGGGTGGAAGTTGAAGGAAGTTTATCCGGACCTTTTCGGTGAAACTCTTGAAACTGATCATTTCCTCCAGAACTTTATTGTTCTTGAAATCGATGTCTCCAGCGGTAACAGGTAGTAGGTAACGGTAATGGATTTGAACTTTCTTGAAGGAATTGCTCGTCTTTTGACTTTTTACAATGGGTTGATGTTGGGCGGACATAATTTTTTGAACAGTCTTGAGCGAAAACTTCATAACATGAACCAGCGATTGAGTGGAAGGGAATCTCTCTAGAAGAAGTGGGTTGTTGTCGGTGTTGCTGTTGTGACTGACCGTCCCCACTCCCAGAATTATTCCCATTTACATTCAAACTGGAGTTTTTTGATTTCAAGGATGTAAACCATGAGTTAGACAAAGCATGTTCTATGGTGGCTCGACGTGTTACATCAGGTTCCAGTAAATGTCTAAAACACCATTAAAAAGTAAATGAGAATTATTATAAAAATAATCCAACAATCTAATGCACAGTGACAGATTTACCCTATGAGACGTTTCGCTTGCTTGGAAATCAGACCTTCAACTTGATGTGGGTACGTCAGGATACGTTCATTTTGATTTTGCAGCATTTGTTGAACATTGCTCTCGTCATAAGGCATGTGTCTGTAATGGAGAAAGCAAGTTGGTGTAAGCAGAGTCGGTTGGGGTGAAGAACAAATAAAAAGTAAACGCATATACCCGGTCAACATGATGAATAATATGCAACCAAGACTCCAAGTGTCATACAGTTTGGGGTTGTACTGAGTTCCCTGTATAAATAATCTTTATATAAATTTTGTGTATACATATATACATACTCTTCATGATAGACTGTTTGTGGGCATACCTGGAGAATCTCAGGTGCAGCATATGCAGCACTACCACAGTAGGTGTTGGACAAAATTCGCTTCCCATTGAAATCATGACAATATCGAGAAAATCCAAAGTCTGAAATCTTGACCACGTCACCGGAACAAAGTAGCACGTTTTCACATTTGAGATCTCGATGAGCCAAATCCAAGCTATGCATATAGCGAACTGCAGACAATATTTGCCTACAAGCCAAACATAAAGTCAATGTCCCAAGCATATTTATAAGTGTGTGTGGATACTGGACCAACTAAACTGACACAGGACTATATTTATATATTTGCATACCAAAAATAGTTTTGAGTTCGTTTTTCCGACAGAAATCCTTTCTTTTTGATAAATTCCAACAAATCTCCCTTGTTACAAAAGTCCATAAAAATGAAAACGTGGTCGTGGTTGTCGAATTCTACAACATCAAAGACAGTCACAATGTTTGGGTTGGATAGTCGACCCACTATATCCAGCTCTCTGGGAAGAAATTTGTTGACAAAGTCCTGCAACACACCATGAAAATGAGAAATCTATGTAGTAAAGTTGCAAATTGATTTAGTTTAATTACCTCAGATGCTTTCCGTTTACTGATAACCTGCAACAAGATAAAAATGGAAAATTTGTTGGCGTTTCAATATTTTTGGCAATGTTACAATAATAACTCTATATTATGTATGTATGCGTACCTTGCACGCTATGACCTGTTCTGGTCCATCTTGATCGTTTGTGACAATGCAAAGTCGAACCTTAGAATACGAGCCCTGGAAATGGTTCATCAATTAACTATCATGTAAAGTTCACAAATAAAATAAAAGTAATCTACCTCTCCGATTATTTTTCCTAAACGAAGTCCGTTTTGTTTGAAATATGCGTTCATGGAATTCAAGCCTGTTGCCCTTGTCGGAAATGTGTCTGGATTTTTGTGTTTTTCGAGAAACGACATATTACAAAAATTAGAAAAATACAAAATTCTAATCGTTCGAAAAGTCCACTGGATTAATTGAGGAATTGTTAACGTTGTGAGACGTGTCACTGCGGGCCAAGTGCCCTCGACTAGTATACAAAATATTATTTAAGAAAGAGCTGAGCGATTCAACATATAATCACAATTTTATTATTATTGCAAAACGGAACATAATTGTAATCACTATAGAAGCAGTTCATTGTATTTTTAGACGAATAATTAGTGTTACGACAAGGAATTATCTACAAATGATTCTAGTATTTGTTCGTCTACTTCAAATTCCATATCAGAACTGGTTATTGTATTATTCGTATTTTCTATATCTTCATCATCCAAGCAGTTTTGAAAATCGTCTGAAGACATTGGTGGCGCTCTGATGATATGATTAAGAGATATTAATCGAGTAGTAGGAACCCCCATTTCACTTGGGCTCTCGGAACCAGAACTAATTTCTAAGATAGTGTCACTTCCTGCAATTGGGTTAACTTTAAGGAACATTGGAGATGAGTTATAATTATTATCACTGGTTGGGTTAGGCACTGTTGAATTTAATGACATTGTGGTAGTAGGTGCTTCAGAATTCGATAATTCATCGATGACAGTTGGATCTAAAGGTTCTATGGGGTGAGATCCCAAGCCATACAAACTCCCAGCGTCTTTGTAAAATAAGCCCACAAGGGAACTGACAGGACAATGGATAGTGTACGGATTCGGGACAGAATAAACAAAGTCTTCTTGTAAATTATTGTCACATCCGCCCACAATGTTTCTGAGATTCCACACTTGAATGGCTCCATCTTGAAAGGAGCCTGCAAGCATATTACCAGAAATTGATAAGTCTGTGCAATTTTTTGGGCTTAGTAGTTCTGCAATTAATTCCCCTTCTCGAATATCCCAGACTCGAATTATATCATCAAATCCTACATGAAAATGGATACATGTTTGAATTATCACTTGGCACTCAAATCATTCACATGGAGTGACATATTAAGCTTAATAAAAACAACTCATCTGTTATACCTCCTCCAACCAAGTAGTTTCCACTTTTATGAAAAGCTAAGGCACTGACTTTTCCTTCTGATCCAGTCATGATTCGCACCATTTCTCCATCAGAAACTGACCATAGCCTAGCAGATTTATCAAGGGACCCAGTAGCCACATAAGATTCGTTTGGATGAAATTTTATACTCTGTGAAGGCATATTTATTATCACATTTTAAATGTTATCATTAAAAACACCTTACTTCAACGTCAAAATAATGTCCTGCTAAAATTCGAACACATTCTACTCTTTCTGGAACCCAAAGCCTGGCAGTAGAGTCTGTACTGGCTGTTTAAATTTTAAAAACAAAAATCTTTAGGATCTTCTTCGCCATGTAAGTTAAGTATGTACATGCCTAGTTCGTTGATTTTATGTTAAGTATGATACCTGTTCCAACTAGTTGTCCTGATGGAGAAATGTCCACGGACCAAATTGGACCAAAATGACCTCTAATTTTTGCAAATGGTTTTCGATTATAAACATAATCAACATACTTTAAATGTATGCATAGTTAATTTTAAGGCGGCCAACCTGTATAGAGCTTTGCAATTAATATTTGTATCATGGGTTAAGTCCCATGCTCTCATAACGCTATCCTGACCTATTTACAAGAGTATGTAGTCATCAATAATACATAGAAAAACATGTTGATTTTGTTAAATGGACAAACCTGCCGAGTATAATAGTTTTGTTCTTGGGTGGAAAGATACGCCATAAATTCCCCCCTCGTGCCCATTTATTGTTTTAATGGAAGGTTCATACACAGAGTAATCATCATTATCTTCATCATCAGCATCTTCATTTTCATCATTGGATGAAAATGGAGCCATTTTCGCAGAGGATTCGTCACAAATTCGAATTCCAGAGGTTGACATTCCAAATGCAAATGTAGATCCCTCTTGTGATACAGCCGCAGACGACGGTCTGAAAAAATAATTAGTAATATTTTTAACGTACATAATATGCAATGTATTGTGCTTATTATATATATTTAGTTTCACATACAATCCATTTGTGGTGTAGACTTTAATTGATGGAAGATTTGCTGTGACACTCCCCCTTAATCGATGTAAAACTTGCTTGATTCTACTGCTGGGTTTGGAGGGCTCAATTTTTTCATTGTCTCCGTCATTAACATGAACAGATTCTACAATTTCTTTCGAAGTTTTCAACTCGATTAAAAAATGATTGCTCAAAATGTTGACCAACAAACTTTTTTTAAGTTTGGATAAAAACTTTTTTAGTGTTACAAAAGTACACTCGCTAAGTGTAAATTTATGTCTCTTTTGACAAACTTCTTTCAAGTACTTGTCCTGTAAATTATCAAAGATCAATTATTTTGGGTAATTACTTTGTAAATCAAGAATAGAATATTTTAAGACTTACCTCAAATCCTTGCGTACTTTTAATTATGCTAATTGCAATAGCAATTAAACAGTTTTCGTGGGTTTTATCTTCTTCCTATTGTAGGTACATTACATTACATGACATACATCGCATTGGTTTTAATTTAATAAAACTAACCAAAAATTTTCGGCTAAAGTCTCCTATTAACTTATTGCATACAGTTTTAAACCCGTTTATGTACGACTCTCGCACAAAGAACACAAGGATTGGCATTAACATTGGTCGCAATTCTCCGCTCATTACAGGATTCCGTTCTTTTAGAGACGTGAAAAACTTATAAAATCTGTGAATATAAAGTCATCCATCAGCCACATTAAACAATACAAATTTGATGGCAAGGCAAAAAGTAAACTTTCCAAACCTTTCAATCTCATCGTGGATTTCTTCGGCTCGATACGTGGGTCCAAATAGGACAGCATTTGTTTTTGAGATGGATGGGTCAACCATTTGGCTCAAAACTTCTTTAGTTACAATTTTTGGAATAAGCGTCTGCACACAACAAAATTGGTAACGTTAATTAACACATATATTTTTGCTACAACAGAAACACAGTATAATCACATTAATCATACGATATGATAATTAGGTATACCTCAAGATAGCCTCGTTGTTTCAAATGTTTGTTTATTTTATGGCGAATCACTAAATTCAAGTCTTTGGTCAAACTAATTTTCTCCTTTATATCATCCTTAGTAAAATGCAGGACTCTTTCTTCTCCAGTTTCATTCATCAAGGAATCTTCATCGTCCTGAACGCTGGGAGACCGTCGTACGACACTATTATCCACGGTTCCACCAACTGGTAACGAAATAGAGTTGATTTTTGAATTTGAGATTTGGGTTTGAAGATCCACTTTTCGAAACTGCTGCTTTTGTCCTAATTGGATCTGCATTGTTCTGTAAGGGGACGAAGGTTGGGCCACGCTAGGTGAAGATATATTATTTATTCCAGCGGTGGCTAGTTCCAGACCGTTTTCTAGCACGAGGACATCCGCTTCAGAAAACGTTGTTTCGAAAACCGCCGTCTGACCTTCGAACAACTCTCCGAAATGGGATGATGCATTGTTCAGACTATCGTCTTCCATCCTGTGTTACTTCTTTCACGGACAGAGGAGCATACTTAATAAACTGTCTGTTAAGAAATGTGTATATAAATTATAAACAACGGCACGTTATAAATTTTAGAAACTCAATTCTATATATACTTACTTTTACCAGGTGACGATCTAAAGTATAAAAAAATCAAAAAGGCACACGAATATTCCTCTAACAATGACCACAAGAGTTAACTGACGCTGCTGTTACTGATCCCGATTGAAGAAGCTGAGTATTATTTATTACAATAAACATAAAAGTGAGGATTAAATATTCAATCAATGTCATGCAAAGTTGTTATATTGCACACATGTTAGATTCAAGACTTTCAAGCGTGTTACCGCTCCATCAGCAGTGTTGGCCGCAAAAGACTTGTTTTCTCTCCAGTAGATGATCGTTGCTGTTTCTCAGTCCTCCCTGCGCCCCCCAACGTTCATTCGTCCAATAGTCATTTGAAATGACTCGTTTCCTTCTATTTCTTATTTTACGCCAAGAAAATTTTGTAGACAATTTTGATCTTCTAAGTCAATTTGACCACATCCACCCAAACAGTAGTGATTTTTCCAACGTACTTCCAACGTAGTACCAACATTGCTGTTCCCCACGATAAAATAATTATATTGTTTCATATTTATTCTAATTATTTTGAAGAATATATGGCGATATGGCGAAACGATAATTGCTGTTAATTACACCTTTATGCGTAAAATGATCCTGTGTATATAAGTATGAACGAGGGGGAATTCGACAAGCTCTTCTGGTACAAGAAAGGCAGGATGAACTTCATCAACTATCGCGTTATTAATCAAACATGAAAACATGATCCAGTATTTATGCATTTGCAAATGTAAATGCTGAGCACCAGCATGTAATGGCCTTCTTGGTACAGGTTTTGTGGGGTGGTGGTGAATTTTCTGATTGCAGAGAGATAAGTGGGAGGATAGGTTACGTCTAATTAATTAATCCATGTTGTTTCCTCTAATCCTAAGAAAGAAGAATGTACATATCTGTATTCTGTACTACAGATATGTAGCTATTACCAGCCAGTAGTGGAGTACAATGGACGCGGTGTGTGTAAGAAAGGGCCGAGTTGGTTAAAATATTGAAATGAGTCCATTTGCAGGCTGGTAAATGCTTGGTATCATCACGATAAGTAGACAGTTGCAAATCATTTTTATGCCCCCATATGTACCTGCATGAGAGCAATTTGTTTTTAATTCCGACAGTTTCTAGTGCAAGTTCGTGCCAAGCAGGGCTACGTCCATCCAACTTAACAACTAATCTTAATAGACGCAAATTTAATTTAATTACTGACTCTAATAAATTCTAAGAAACTTCAATAAATTATTGATGCTCTACTATATTAGGATCTGGCGTCGGAATCTTATGGTTATTGCATTGCTCGACTATTATTTTGTTGGTTCCGTTCTAGACTTTTTTGCAATAATTAAATTAAACATGTTAATTAAAATCATGTTTTTCTTACAACAATTGTATCATAATTAATTACACTTTTGTGCTGATGATGGCTTGTTGGATTGCACTTGTAGCATGATAAATATTTTTATGTTTTACACGAATACATATTTAAGAACAAGTTCTTATTTTGAAGTACACACATAGCATATCCGAGTTTGATGAAATTCCAAGCATGCGTAGCTTTTGCACAACAATATAAATTGATCCTGTTTTGTTCCATACGCTTGTCACTTTAAATCAGAAAATGATACATGACAAGCAAAACAAACCGAGCAAATGAGTAATCGATTATGCATGAAATCAAATTATGGACAATTTGCTGATTCATACCACCTTGCTGTGTTGTGATTGTGAGTCAATATAGAGGCGTTTATCTCAATTCAATTGAGTAAAAGATCAAGTTACATTGTTGTAAATATGCGTCTCGATTCCATGTTATTCTACCTTCCAAAAACTATATATGTATGTAATACGTGACATGTATGAGGCAAATTAAAACATTAACAAACTTTATTCTCGTCATTCGAATGCACAATGCGCAATGTGGAGGAATCATTCGATATTTTGCTCCCTATAAATCTCCTTTACACAATATGTTCGTAATTTGTTTGCATATATAATCGGACATGTAGTATATGTTACTTCCGTTGTAAGTTACACTAGTTGTAACACAACCAAAAAGATTGACCGAAAATCGTGAAAATACAGAAAAATGTATATTTTGGGTATGTCACGACTCCCTCCTAGCTCTGCTAAGTGAACAAGTGACAATTTTGTAAAATAATTCAATATAAAAGTGGTTACTAAATTAATAATCTTCTTGAGACTAGAATTTTGTGAGAAAACGGTCAACGAGCGGAATGCTAATTCGAACACAGTCAGTCAGTCATGCTGGTCTGTACATAATGTAGGAATAACAACTCATCCCAGCCAAGAAGGGTGGTTCTTCTACTTGCGAAGAACAGGGAGTAAAAAATATTCAATTCTTGATCACAATAATGTGATAGGAAAGTGACGATACGGGTGAAGCAATCCCACTGCGAAAACTGACAATGGGGCTTGTAACTTGAAACTAGAAATGCAAACAACCTGCAAAGATGTGCAGTAATTGAGCTAATCACATCTCATCCATCATATAATGATAACGTAAATGCTCACGTATATGCAAAACAGTTTACACCGATCAACCTGCCTTTTTCTGCCAGCTCGATCTTTTACTTTTCGACATAATACTTAATACAACGACGCCACTACTCAACCATCAACTATGCCTAAATACGAGTAAATAAGTATGTAATGCAAGTTCGTCACCAGCCATCACGAATTATTGAAATAATGATCTGACACCGTCCTCGCGAATTCTGGATACTTCCTTCTTTCCACTTTAATACAGATAGATGTACAACAAAATATCTATCTAGATAGGTACGATTATCAAACAAAATCTGTAAAATATTGACAGAAAAATAGAATTAAATTAAAAAATCAGTTTCTTGATTTATTGCGGTTATGCTTTGTTAAATATTATGGAGGAAAATGACTCGAATGAGGAAAAAGTGAGATGAGAGATACTTATTTGAATGCAATATGTTACGTACACATGTACTTAAATATGCACCAGGAAGAACAATAATAATAATTATTGTTACCAACGTTGAACGTGGATGGATCTGTTGGTTTTTAGTTGTACAATCTATTATTTAAGAGATTAAACTTGACTGGCTTGCAGTAAAGTGACCTAGCACCCCATCATTTATTTCGTTGATTAATTAAAGCATCAATCAACTCGGAAAGGATTAAAAACCGCATCTCGGTCGGTTTTCCAATTCGAAAAGTAATCAGCAACCGTGGGGGTCACACACATCATCATCTTTATAATACTTATTGTACACACACGAACATTGTGGTTGAGATATGCTCCGTTAGTTGTTGATGTGGACACTCAAGTGGCCATAATGGAAATCATCATTTGAAGGCCTCTGATGCAGGTCTACCACTCTTTTCAGATGTTTACATAAGTACACGTACCTACATTGTAACCAAAAAGTACTTGTGTACATACAGTCAAAACTCAGGTAAATATGTAGGTATCCGAAATATCAAGGAACGAGCCGTTGCTGTCATAAATTTTCATTGTCATTTGATTTTAATCAACTCATAGCCATGACCCCTGCTTCATACCCTTTGAAAAATAATCATTAGCTTTGCTTGTTTACGTTTGGCAAATTGAGTGAAGTGCCGTGAAGAAGGAAGAGAAATGGCAAGTCAAATAAAATCTGATTTGGTTCAATGCAAATTAATGAACTTTCAAAGATTAGGACAAACAAACGGTGATTTGATTGACGTTTTCACAATCAGCTAAACTCTCCATTAGTGCTACAAAGCCAAAACAATTACGGAACATTATGCACCGTAATTGTATGTGGTAAAAGTGGCCGAAAGCCAAGCTGAAGAATCTGACGGCAATAAGTATCTACACCGTTTACCTAATGCTTATACATAAATATATTGCCTTTGGTTAGTAGAGAATATTTAACGATTTTTACAAAGGAAGAAAAGGTGCAGGCAGGACAAGGGCTTACTATCTGTTCTGCAAGTATGTACACAGGAGCTGACATGACGTTGCCCTTGTGGCTCCTGACTTTAAGCCCAAAGATGCACACATATTTTTGAGAAAAGTGAGAATCGAAATTCTATCACTGCCTACAGCATTCGAATCTATATATGTCATAGCTACCAAGCAAAAGGAGGCTTTGGAACTGGTCAAAAGCACAACCTTTAGCTAATGGGTAAAGTTATCTCTAGACAAATTTCACTTCTGCTACACGGTCATCAGCCTCCTGTGGCTCCATTTCACGAAACCAGGTAATAAGTAATTGTACAAAGTGTCCTCCTCTCTCATCCTCATTTTAAATTCATTAACATCCATCGAGCCCTTCTAAAAGCCCTAAAAGTCAACCCGGTTCAAACACGAAGCGACGACCCTTTAACAAAGTAATTAACTTTGTTAAACTAACTTAGTAAGAAGCAACTCTGATTTGTCATAATGACACTTTTCCTAAACGAGAAAAATGAACCTAAAACCTATACTTCAAGGTACAGATACATATACACAAAAAATGCATGTACTTAGGATATGCACATTTTAGCACTTGAGATTACTGGGGAGACTTTTGCGTTTTGGTGCATGTGTGGATTAAGTTACGACCGACTTCTTTCCCAGTCTCATTTTGGTCACTTTGTCATGCAGTTCAGTTCAGTCCACGTACAAGCTCAATTATAAAGTGAGTATGCCTATCGGCTACAAAATGATACTGTTGTAAGCTAAATTTTTATGTAAAATGCACATGTATTAAATCAGTAGACAGCAGCTGTTTGTGTCATAAACTTTTGTAATGCTGCTAAATGTCAAGAGTTTTCAAGCTTAGCCGACGAAGAAGGTGGCTTCAATATGTAGAGGTTGATGCTGGGAAAAAATTGATTGTGCAGTCAAGACTGATTCGAAATAGCTCTTATTACATTGCAGTGGATGCAACAATAAAGAATCATGTGTGCAAGGTATATGCGCAGCTAATACAGTAACGTATATGTTAATAAGACAGCTTTTTTATACTTCCGATTTAGAGACAATTTGTACTCGTCCGTATTTTCTCCGTCGATGGCTGGTGGAGGATTCATGTGGAGCGGAGAGAGACAAGATATCATATCACGGGATAATATCTCAATGCCTTTTGTATTATTAAGGAGGATATCTTCTTATCCAGACTAACAATCTAGATAACTATTTATCGTTACACTCAACTCCATGCTGCTTCGTTTCATGACGGCAAGAGACCATAACTTATTTTGTCAAGAGTTTTTTATTATTATGATTATTACATGTGCATATCAATATCATCCATGATGATGCAGACAGAGACAATAATAAATACATAATAATGATGAGCAGTGAGTTGAGCCACAAGATACCATTATCAACAGGATATAATTTAGAATGCCGTTTAACACCTGATGTGAACGCTTGACGATTATTAAAGATTTATAAAATAAATTGTAATTTAGTCATTAAAAGGAAAGATTTATCATACATTTAGCCTCCCAATCAGTTCACTCACGTATCGAGTGCCTAACTGCTCTATCAGATAATGGGCAGTGTAAGAAGTTAAGAAGTGATCAGTTTTGAAAAAGCAAGTACAAGTCAAAAGAATTAATTTTGACAATTGAGAACCCAACCTCATCGTGCATGATGTAAATTAAATCAACCTTACGTCACAATATCACCCGTCAGCAGAGTTAAAGCAACTTGACTAGATTCCAATTTTGTCATATATGTTGTCATGTCCAATACCAGATACAAAGTGTCAAAGGACTTAAAGCGAAGACGTAAGAACCAAATTAAATCACAGAATAATTCTTGAGAAAAACTTTCCCAGCTTTGCTACTAGTGGTGGTTGACGGGATTCATTATTCTTTGACGAGGGATCAAGGTGTGAATGAGTCTATTATAAAATGAAGAAAAGCATGGGAATGAGAGAATAGCTTCTCTCTCTCTCTCCGACCTTATGCGCCATAAAAGTGTGTTTAATGACGAGAATTGAGCAGATATGGGATGATGGCACGGCACAAATGCAGAGATAACTAAAAGCCCTGTTTATTGTATTGCATAACATAACAATAATAAAGTAGTCGCGTACCACGACGGTCATAGAGTTCCAAGTAAATACGAAATAATGCGAACCCCGTCAGCCAGCCAACCAAACACTTACCGGGAGGAGTTGTCGAGTACGGGAATTGTGGGGGAAAAGGCGGAGGCAACTAATGGGCCAACTCCTCCACCAAATTTGATAAGCCCTCCTACCACCAGTTTTTCCTTTGTCATCCTCACCATCATCTCGCCTGAGATGAACCATCCAACTATCTGTCTGCTCAACAGCAGTCTCACTAATGCCCACTCTAATATGAATTAAACACCAGTTATCATCTAATCGCAAGTCGGCAATTTGCCACCTCTTCGTCAGCATGGTACGCAGGATACATGTGTGCCAATCAATACTACGTTTTCGAACATATGACCTGTGCAAAAATTGGCGAAAGAGTCGACAACGATTTAATCAATTCTCAACACTTCAGGGAGTTAAAGTTGGTATAACGAGTCTCAAATTAAGGGATTCTCCAGCATGATGCATATTCCAGGCAGAGCTCGAGAGAGAGAGAGGAAATTGAAACCTGAAACATGCAATAAGAGGGAACTTGAGCAAAGTGAAAGGCAAAAGTGGACGACGCCCCAGAAAGTACATCTCCCCCCAGTGTTTGCTGGTTGGCTTAAGTAACAAGTTTGAGGAGGACGCATTCACTCGTCGTCGACTACAGTAATAACAACACAATACACCCAATGGTATTATCATGGTCTTACGTGCTTTTACATTTACATCTCCCTAAAAGTGAGACCCTCTTGTACCTCGCTCAATTCCAGTTCGTTCCATTGTATCCCAGTTTTACTTTCCATCCGGCCACACGAAGCTGCCTTCAACGCGACGTAAGCGACTCGCTGATCTCAAATGCTTTGTGGTAGTCGTCTGACGGAGAACCGAGGTCTCTCTCCAATCTCAGCTCAACTCAACGCCGACTTGGTAATTTTGGATAAGTAAAATCTCCCAATTCCAGTACACACACAAGACCAAGCACATACATGCCACAACAAAAAACAATCATCATCATCACAGATAGATACCAGTATAAGAAGAAACTTGTGGGATCCATTGCCACTCAGTCTGTGAAGACATAGCAGACTGGCAGAAGTTGCTTAATTATTAATGGAGAGAAAGAGACTCTTGTCATTAATGCATCATTAATTGATCGTTGAGTCAATTACGTACTTACGTCAACCCAGCCAAAAATAGCAAGCTGTCTCATAAATATTTTCGAAATCTCCACTGTAACATTGACTAAGTTTTTACTGGTTTATCGGCTTCTGCAAAGTTCGTACATAATAACTTGAACCCAGAAAAATATTTGACTTAAACAAATCCTCAAATTTTTAGTGGATGTGAAATAATAAATAACATTTGCTATATACAGTTTTGTGTTATAACATTTGGTGACTTGACTGTGACAGTATTATTACTTAATTGCAAAAATTGCAATCAATTTATTAAACTGAAAAAGTGTTAAATGGTAAATTATATACTATCAAGTGGAACAATAATTACCTCGAAGCAACCAAATATTCCATCTCATCATTCTCTAGTCAAAAATACACTTCATATATAGTTCGAGATCAACTGGGTTTGGTCAATAACAATGGTAAGTGCAGATCATAATAAATTGATAGGTTCAAAGGCTTAATTTCAGAATAATGGGTCTAGTTAGAACATTTCGACGTACTCTATTTCGGCCTAATTATTAATTAGCTCAAGTCCATTGCCAGATCGGTTTTCTTATTGTCTAAAGAATTTCATATCATCATTCTTCAATTATTATCGGCTTGATTTTATCACTTATTGAGTGAGATGATGAGACATCATGAGAATAAAAATACACTCAGGTTCTGTTTGTATATCAGCCACAATGGATACATATGCATATTAAATAAAGTTTTCACTTTGGAAGACCTGATGCGAGAAACTTTAGAGGTTTATATTTTCAATTGACGACTAATTATAACTACTTCAGTCGTTTAGAAAATAAGTTTGGTCTGGATTTCAATTATCTCTTCCGAATAATTATAGCTGACTCATAGTAATATGTGAAAGGATAGTTAATTAGCCGTCATTTTGAGAGTAAAAACCTTTATCAGCTCTTCCAAAGCGAAAACTTAATTTGATTTCACATACCATGCTGGAGCTGCTCTGTATTTTTCTCATGTTCTCCCCTGTCTCATCAGGACACCAATATCGGGGAAAGTGATAAAATCTCTTCGAAACCTAATCAATAATAATAATAATTGAGAAGAATGATGATGTTGAATAATTGAAATTCTTTACACAATAAGAAAACCATCAGGCAACAACCTCCAGCTAATTAATAATTAAAGCAAATAAAGGGTTATTTAAATACTCTAACAAGAACAATTATTATAAAATTAAACCTTCGAACCTGTCAATTTATTAATGACACCATTGTTTTGAACAGCTACCATTACAAGGAAGAAAATAATAGAAAATGCATTTGAAATTAACTTGGAATGATTCCAACGACCCTGGTCGACTCTGAATTGTCAAAGAAGAAGAACAAGAGTTCCTTCACGACGGTGACGACGACGACACAGACGACGCGGACGAAGAATTGTCCGAGTTATTGTTATTCGACTTACACCTCCTGCGAAATCAAATTATTATGATGCCTTTGGCACCCACGTCCACGGAGTTACCGGCTGCCCACCGACCAAAGATTGGTTTCTCCATCGATTCCATCGTTGGAGGAGGAGGAGGGGGTGGGTCGACGAATCTCTCAGCAGGTCACAGATCTCATCGTTCAGGTTCCCTTACCCCACCCTCCCCCGAACCGTCCTCCACAGAGATCTCTGCCAAAACAGGGTCCCCCGAGGAGACACTGGCTACCACATTCACAATCACCTCCACCACCACCATTTGCTCAACAACAACAACATCCACCACGCCCCCACCTCCCACAACAACAACAATCATCACCATCGCCCCCCCTCACACGGGAGTGCGGGGTCAGTTTCCCCACCTCCGAACCACCGCATCTCCTCCTCCAGCAGAGAAAACTCTGTCAGTGTTAGCAACAACTCTTCCACGAATGGTAACAATCGTTCAGCCTCAGTCAATTCAAACACGTCGGCGAGTAGCACCCCACCCATTCAGTCCAAGTCTCCACTAGTGTTCTCCTCTCCAAACCAACTTCCCCCTCCTCCCAACAATGATCAAATGCATCACCACTCGTCACCCCCAAATGTGCAGGGTCACCCTCCCCCCGGGCTTCCTCCCCATTTTGCAGCCTATCCTCCGGGGATGCTCAACTTTGCGGTGCAAGCCGCAGCCGCAGCAGCCGCTCAGTCTCACCATCACCCCGGACTGCCCTGGATGGGGCCACCACACCCACATCCTCACCACCCTCATCACCCCGGCGCAAGTGCTCATCCACTCTACCCCTGGCTCTTGGCAAAGCATTCTCGACTCTTTCCTCACCGCTTTGGACCAGGTAATTATTATTGTATGTATTATTTTACGCAATCTTGATTGAGTCGTCTTTTTGAAAAAATGCATACTTACATACATAAATATTCTATTAGAAACTCTTCTGAATCAATTAACAAAAATCAAGTTTTGCACTCAATCTGGCTCTTGGCTCGTGCATTACCATTTATCTTTGAGCACCGTGTAGATAGGCTGATTGTTGAGGTAAATTAATTCTCAATCGATTCCTGACGTAAGTCATGCATATTTAATTTAAGCTATACAAGTAGACGACGGAGGAGGAGGAGGCGATGCATGCATCTCAAAAACAAAGATACATTATGGCTTGTAAGATATTCCAGTAAATTAGCTGTTTCCTTCAAGTATTAGCATAACTTGCAACAGCACAACAGCTCGTGTTGTCCAACACAATGATGCTCAGTCGGATGGGTTGAGATTTTTTGAAAGATTTATTCTGTAAATCATGGTAATTTGCGGTGAGAGCAAGAAAACGAGAGGGTTGGAACATTGCCCTTAATTTTTAAGTAAAAAGAAGAATCATTAATTTGTGATGTTGATTGCGTTTCCTACTTTGACGTTATTGACTATTAACCGAGGGATAATAGGATATTAAAGGGTCATGTTATCCCATGTTCGTATGCATGTGAATGTGCGTTGTATGTTATTATGTTGTGTCGTGTCAGTTTACCCATTAATGTTCTCTTACTTGGATATTTCCATCGGTATGTGTGTGCGATCAGCCTCGGCACCTGCACACTATTGGCATTTGCATGTTAGTGTTCGAATCTCATGATAATTTACAGAGTTTTCAATTAAAAAGTTATTAAGCCTTCTACACAGAAAGCACTGTTATAAAAATTTGGCAGATTGTTGTCTGATTTTGATTTTGCAGTAAACAATAAATTATAGGCTTCATAAAATGGAATGGATGTAAAGCTGGTCGGTTGGAAAAATCATATTTAATAAAAAAATTACATTTGTGCTAAAGGGCAAAAACACAAGCTTTAAATTATTTCACAGATTTTGATCACAAAGCAACAACTTATCATCGAGCAAGCAATAATAGAAGAACATAACAGCAGCATCCGTATCGTTAGGAGCGAGTAATTGCCGAGGTAAAAGTAGATTTATGGCCAATCATAAAATTTTGGATGGCAGTCTTTCCCCAAAAATGCTTTATCTCGTTCCCTTGCAATACACACACACATTGCGATGATGTGAGTGAGCCAGTTCAATATTCTGTAACACAATATACATTTACATATAAAATTACAAATTATATGTAGACGTACACACACATATATTTATATGTGCGTCTCAGTAGCAGTGACATCTTAATCAGTCATTCATACCAATAACGAGCACATACTTAGTTTCACACATGCAAATGAATATGCAGTTTTTGTTTAATAATTAATAAACCCATTTCCACTCGAGTCAGTCAGCACTTAATTAATGCTTTAAACCAAACGGAAAACCTACCAGTAAAGGGAATGCAGACAGTCATTTTAATGAGGGACACCATACATATTTCATTCTGACTTTACAAAAGTCATTGCCCAACTTCATACTTAGCGAGCCGACAATCGTAATTAACAAATTGAAACTAAACAATGCATCGATTATTAATTTAGGGTATTGTCGTTTGAGCCAACGTACGCAAAAGAAATAATGAGAGCAATATGTACACAGAAACACCAGCAACAAACCCAACTGCCTAAATATACATATATGTGCACTACCACCTACATATATGTATGTACCTAATCTGCAACGGAACGTAATGATTTAATGGTTTTCTGAAAATATTTTCCCCCCGAGGGACATATTTTGTGAAGTCACTACCACCCGTTCGTTCCGTGTTCAAGTTCATAACAGTTGGTAATTAAATCGTTTAATTTTGACATTAGATGGAATAAGGTGGGTTAATTAAATTATGACTGGCTTCTGGGCATATTATATTAGCCCACTTTGCTGCAGTATTCTGCTGACGGACCAGCAAGAAAGACACAAATCAAACAAGATTTCAGCAAGCTTCACTTTGGCACAAGTATGATTAAATGAAATTCGATAATAGACGTCTGTATAATAATACGACACACCTTAGTTTGGGCGGAATCGTAATTCTTGTTTAATTACAAATTGAAATTTTGGATAAAATTACCAATTTGCCATGTAATTTATGTCTTTACAAAAGTTTGACGGATGAATGATTGCAGTTACTTATTTACATAGTTTGCTGCTTGTTGTTTCTCACTCAAATTGACAATTACATTTTTAACAGGATGCTTGCGTACTTACATTTTTTTGAGTATTAATTCATAACTGTTTATATTTGAGAAAGTGCCAGTTGTCAGTAAAGTAAATAATAAGCCATCACATAACCTATAATAATCAGCAGCACTTTATTGCTGACGAAATAAATATGCAAATGTTTCCAATGCATGAGACTGACTACTATCCTTGACTCGATATTCCTTTTTATATTTATTGCTGACTGACATGTCACAGCCAATTTAACAAACCAATAATAAATGAATACCACCAAAATTGAGAGGATAACAATCGCCAATTGCTCATTGTTGTTAAGCAGTGAGACTACTTGAGTTTTGATGAGCATACATACGTACATACGCACCAGTAAGTACATATACATACACCATCCCATTCGCATTCTTCCACCAATAACGGACTGAATTGATAGCTTATTGATTGCTGATGATGGAAAAGGTGTGAGATGTATTGTAGTGTCACGGCTTAATTAATATTTTGGCTCTTTGCATTTTAGTCTCGTTGATTTTAAACGTGCACCTCATTTGAATTGATTGACTACAATGTGGATTTTTTGACTCTTTTGATTTGTGACCCATTATGGGCAAAATAAGAAACTGAAAGTCAACGAGAATACCAGCATGGGGTATAATAGCATCATATGTACATATTTAGTAGTCACATAACACATATCGCGCACTGATAAATTATGAATTACACAATTTAGAGCGTGCACTATTGATAAGTAATAAGTATGTACATGAGGTGGAAAATGTGGAAAAAAATATTTATTTAATTCAACAACCACGTACTATGATGACTACTGTTTGTGATATATTCTTTCGTGGAGGACCATGGAACCATTAGCATTATTAGCATATATATATGCATCCTGAAACAAAATGGAGTGGTGACTGCAGGTCAATTTTCACGCCGTTTAGCCTCAAGCGTTTAAAGATCGGGATAATCAAATAAGAAATACTATGTAATAAAAAAACAAGGAAAAAACATGCAATGTGACGCTGTCCAGCCGGGTTAAGTCAGACCAAGCTCCAGAGTAGCAATAACTTTCCAAGTGTGTGTGCATGCCAGGTTCCTGTAAAAAGAAACGCATGGCATAATATGAGGAAAACTGACCATGCGGTTTAGTTGCCCTTTTTAGGTAAAAGGCCAACCATCTGCTGAGTAATATGTATGCAAAGCCAAAGTGAAATAAATGAGTGTGACTATTAAACGAGCTGTATACGCGCATGCATGCAATCGTAGGTTGACAGTATGTCGGTTCAAGTGGTCTCATTATCCTCAATGTCATGATGAACGTCTTTCTTATATTTTATTTTGGCTTTCTTTAGGTCCAGAACTACCCGGGTTTCTCCTACAGCCATTTAGAAAACCGAAAAGGATAAGGACAGCCTTCAGCCCTTCGCAGTTATTAAAACTGGTAAGGTCCTCTTTCAGCTTGATAAATGTTTGAAAATAAATTAGCAAGTAAAGATTAGCGATATTCACAAAAATGCAACTGCTAAAATACGCAGTTCTGATTTCATGCACATGCAAATGTTGAGGTCGTGGGTGCCCGACCACCATTGATATAATGTCCTGCTGTCCGTATACGGCTTAGACAGAGAGGAGCTGGAGAACCACTCCCATAAAATGTGAGATAGTTTCCCATGGCAGGGGAATTCAACCCCTCTCCTCATACTTCCCCAACAAAGCATTATTATTTATAATGTCAATGGTTGACCACTCTTCAAAAGTGACCCTGGCTCCAGCCTACTGCTGAGCTTCCGTAACCCTAACCGAGGTCAGAGGTACTCACTCATATCACCATAACGGTGAAATTAGTGTCATTCTCTTTCAAGTCATCAATGAAACTTCTAAATAGCAGACTTTCACCGACATGGTGAAAGTCCTAAGGTGCACCGTGTGGAGGCTGCGCATACATAATAATAACATGTTCTTTTATTTTATTCTTCTAATTCAACGCACACACAGGAAATTAAGCTAGAGAGGAGACGTCAGCCACTCCCATCAAAACGTGGGAGTGTTGCCCAGGGCAGGGGAAACGTGGACCCCTCTCCTCATGCTGCCCCATGCACGCTTTTTATAGTGGGTGGCAACCACGGTCCAAATCCAACCCATTGTTCTTAAAACTATACCTGGGTAGTATAGTCAACCTTTTTTGGTAAATTTTTCTTTTCTACTATCCAATCTCAAATGACTATAATTCTGATGACTAGAGCCCATTCTTCTTCAAACTACTTCTGGGTAAAGTAATTGGCCTGTTTTGGCAATAGATTGATTGTTTGGTAATAAAATCCATTTCAATCTTTGATCTTCTTTGCGTCCTTTTTTCTTTGCACCAATTCGGCTTTGGCTGCTCTCTCCAAAGCTGTGACAGCCGATGGGTTGTATAGCGGAGACCGTTTATCAATTTTTCGATCGTAACATTTCCTCAATTCTGCTCGCTCGTCTTCATTCAGTGCAGCTAGTTTTGCTTTAATTTCATCCTTTCGTTTGGCAACTCTTGATTTCCTGTCTTTGTCAGCGTTGAGATCTCTATAATACTTTGTGAATGCTGCTCTTTCCAAATCCGTGAAAGGTTGTTTGTATTCGGGAGATGTTTTATCGCATTTTCTACGGTACGACCTACTTAATTCTGTTCGGGCTTGGTCATTCAATTTAGCTAATTCTGCTGCAACAGCAACTCTCGTTTTTCTAGTTTCTTTCGTTCCGTGTACTTTATCGTATCTTAAGCGACTACTTGCAAGGTTTTTCAATTTTTGTTCGTCTGTACGATTCGCGTACCAAACGTTACAATTCCATCTGTAGACTTCCAATTCCCATTCTTCTGGATTCTGTCTGTAATTTTTACATTTTGTTTTTCTAGAATTTCCCACTTTGGAGAGGGCGCGTCTGTAAATTTGCAAACATGCTATTATATTTTCCTGAGTGGACCATTTGTGTTCAATATCGTCATTTAGCAAGAAATCAAAAACATTGTCGGCCCAATCCTCTAACTCTTTGTTTTTTTCTGCAAGTTTTCTTTTTTTAGCTTCGAGATATATATGTGCAATATCCTCTTCATCAACGTTAGGACATGGATTATGAATTGCACCCTTACTTAAATAACCTCTACCACAATTTACACAAAAGTGTGGGAAGTAGGAGTCAAATGTGTACTCTGTGGTGGTGGGAGGTTCATCATTGCAGGCAAACAGTTGTACTACATAAAACTTTTCGTGGTCAGAAGACAATTGGTACTGTGGAGGTGAAACTAGATCGACCTTGCAGCCAACACCTGGCTGGGTTCTACAGGCAACCTGGTCTAACATATTCCCAACATCAGCATTACTCTCGGTATCCGACTCATCGTCACTTTCCCTATCTGACTCATTGTCACTTTCGGTATCCGATTCATCGTCACTTTCCCCATCTGTTTCATCATCCACCTTACCCTTCCGGCGTGTCCAACTGTTTTTTGGGTCGTTTTTCCAAACTTGTCCCCACGATTCCATGTTCAGTCCAGCGCTATGCATCTCGGCAGCTATTTCCCCATAAATTTGCCACTTTGGGTCCGCATTCATGTCACCCATAACTATTAAATTTGTTTCATCCCCCTTATCTTTCAATTCGTCAACAGAAGCTCTAAATTGGAGTCGTTTATATGCATTCCAACATGCACCACAACCATCTTTACCACTTTTATAATGTACAAAAACTAAATGAGAAGTATAACTTTCTATACCAACTTTGGCAGTTATTGTTACTGCGAATTGACGATGGTCATCCTCATTCAATGAATTTATATGGACAGGGTGAAAATCTGTGCATTGAAGTGTTTTTTTTGTGAATAAGGCCATTCCATGCCCACCAAAATATTATTTATATCCTTCGCAGGGACAAGGAACGACATTCAAATCCCATTCCGACTCTGGCAACGTTGTAAAAATTCGATCGTAATCAATTAATGCTTCTGGATTAGATGCACTTTGATGGGTCTCACACATTGCAAGAACATTACAACCTGATTTCTCAACAATAGCTCGTATTTCATTACATTTACCTTCCGTCAATCCTTCAACATTTAGGCCAACAATTGTCAAAAACGGACCTTCTTTCAAACCCATCTCACCCAGTGGTTGAGTCAATCCACTCTTGGTCATCGCTTCATCTTCTATCTTAATTCGCTTATCCGTTGTAACACTACCATCACCCACCTCCTTTCTCTTTCTGCCGTCCATTTTACAAATGACACAAGGTACAAGCACGCCCCTTGTTATGGCCACAGAATTTTAAGTACTCTGCTCGGTACTCTTCTGATAAACAGGAAATTATGAGCGTATGTTATTATTATGTATGTTATTACTCGAGAGTCGAGACTAAATATACATTTGTCTTGCCTGGATGTACATACACGGGCTTCCTGTGTACATCTGCAGGGACTGTCCACCCTCCCAATATCTGGCCGTTCCAGTCTCTTGGCATTTACGGCTGTGAACGACGTTTTCACCTAGCCGACTTAGCACTCCTCTGCGTCATTTCTGGGAGATTTTGGCCACCATGTTAACAGCATGGCTTGAGAAAGCCCCGTGGTGCATCTTTCCTGGCTAATGACCAGTAGGATGCTTTCCATATGAAGGGTGGTAACGAATTCCACTCTCAGGCTAGTGTTTGGAGCCGTTTTGCACTTTCACTAACGTGGTAAAAGTCCCAGGGTGCACCGCGTGGAGGCGGCTCCAATCGCACCCCATAATGATGCAATTTGTTTTAATTTTTCGGTCATGAGGTCAAATTACATTCACACAGCTCTAATAATTTAAATTTTTAAATTTTTTTAGGAACATTCGTTCGAGCGCAACCACTATGTGGTCGGTGCTGAGAGGAAGCAACTTGCCAATTCGCTATCACTTACAGAGACGCAGGTACATATTTACAAATTTTAATAAATCATATAAAAAGTAGCGTCAGAACGATCGAAATTTCCTTTAAAATGACACCCCATATGATAATTATGTATTTTTTGACCTGTGACCTCGTCCTCAAGGTCATGAGGTCAAAAATATTAATCGCGATAAAATTTCCTTTAAAATGACACCCCATATGACAATTATGAATCTTTTGACCTGTGACCGACTATCACGGTCAAAAATTTTAACGCTATTGAATTCGTGGTGAAATTTCCTTTAAAATGACACCCCATATGAAAATTAAAGTTAAATTTAATGTTGGACCACACCCCCTGGCGCAGTTGGGTGTAGTCCGATTGACCCAATTTCCGAACTCGACCGAGAACTAAAAATTAGAAGCAAAATGGCGAAAACGGGGTTTGATTATGTTGACCCGTTCTGGAGATATCCTGCTTACGCACGGACGGACGGACAAAACGATCACAATAAGTTGCTGACGCTATTTAATAATCCTGCCAAAGTGCCAATGTTTCATATTTCCATTTGAGCATGACACTAATTTTCCGTGTTTTTTTTACTTTGCCCAACAGGTGAAAGTGTGGTTTCAGGTTAGTCACTAATACATTTATCATGTCTCATATTAAAATACATGTGTATTTCTGATGTACTGATGTACATAAGCTGTGGGTATGTATGTATGTACATGAGTGTTTATAATATGTCTTTATATTCAGAATCGTCGCACCAAGTCAAAACGGCAAACCCAGGAGGAGGAAGCAACGAAGAAGCCTGGTAGCGGTCATTCCGATGGCAATTCGGGAAATAATGGAATGTCAACTTCTGCAATTTCGGCCGACTCTTCCACGCGAAACTATGTTGACTGTAGCAGTGATGACGAAGAAATTCTCATGGACGAGGACTACTCAGATGACGAAGATATTCCCCCTCATCTGCGGCACAAGTCGTAAATAAATCAGTTCATTATGAAATAATATGTATCCTCATAAACATATGACATTATAACAACCAGCCAATCCTTAATCCAACCTTACAAAGAAAGAAGCTCCTCTTATCAAAAGTATTATTATTGTATGTAGACAGGTAAATTATCTACTTAATTAATCATATTACTCGTTCTTACCATGGCGTAGGACTGTAGAAGGATACCTATTTAGTTGGTAGTTTAGTTGACTTAACACTAGCATATTTATATAAACCAGGAAATAATTCATTTTATAATCCTAATCTATCACCCATCATCATCCAGTATGATAGTAGTCGTTCTTAAAGCAGACATATGCATCCATACAGAATGCATATTACGTGTGTATGAGGCTTGATCTTTATTTTTTCCAATTGTTAAAGTGAATGTGTAAAAACAAAACTCATGTAAAAACCATCATTATCATCGTACTTACTAAATTACAAGAGATTACGTTCAGAAATTAAAAAATAAATGCTGAATCAATGAAAGAATCCAATTTGTAATTTGTTATTTGATTTGATGGATGCATTTGGACATGGCCAAAAAACCGTGACACGGCGTCGAAGTACCCGGCAATGCTATCAAATGTTTGATAATTTAACAACCACTAAACGGGTTCCATCGCAAAGACCTCTCTTTGTATTTACACCACAAATAAAAATAAGTAAAAATTACTCAAAGTTGGATAAAAGAGGATGACCAACCAAAAGGCAAAATTTATCCTACGTTGTGCAAAATTACCCACTCGTTGGACAAATTTTGCACAACGGTTGAATAAATTTTGCCTTTTGTTTGTGTCATCTTCTTTTTTTATTAAACCTTGAGTAATTTTTACTTATTTTTATTTAGAGTGTAGATTTCTTAATACCATAATTATGGCACCCTTTTTGTTCAATAACCTTTTTTATTCAATTGTCCCTTTTTGTTTAGTTATAAATTTAATTTCCCTTTCAATTTCCTCTTTTTGTTTCTCGATTAAATTTTCCCTCGTGATTAAATTGTCCCTCGCGATTAAATTTTCCCTCGCGATTAAATTTTCCCTTTCGGTTAAATTATCCCTTTCGGTTCAAAGTCCCTTTTGGTTCAATTGTATCAACCTCTCATAACCCTTTTGTCTATTTTGCAAAGCATTTTTCTTCTTGTAAACCCAGTTTCCACACTACATTGCACTGCATCACTTTTTTCTGCTTCTTGATATTGCACTAAATATTTAATTAAAATATTTAATTAAAATATTTAGTGAAATATCTAGAAGCAGAAAAAAGTGATGCAGTGCGGTGTAGCGTGGTTAAAATAAAATAAACAAAATTCACATTTCGCAACAAGTCGCCAATCCCATCTGGCCCCAATACTCTCATATATACTTCCACATGCACACATGGCCAGAAAAACGTTTAGCCATTTTATTTCATTGTAAATATTATTGGCATTATTGTCTAAATATTGAAAACTGACTTGGTTTGATCGAGAGGCCACCCATACCCACTTAAATATCCATCCATCCTATCATGAAAATATCAGGTGTAGCAGTATTCCCACACACTCTTAAATACATGAGACTCCAAACAAGGATAACAATAAATATTGTTGTACCCGTCCGTCCATCCATTATTTTCGATTTGTTGTAGCCTTGTTTAATTGCAGATAATTTATTTAATTTGATCCCTAAATGATTGTTTTACTTTCTCACTCACTCCATCCATTACGCACACGAAGCCCATTTTATTATTATACACTGAACGGACTGATGATGCTTATGATTGACATCGTAGACTTTCAGAACTTTCTATCAAGATCTGAAATATAATTGTAGCAGGTAATTGAAAATGAGAACCGTAATTGCCAACAATGCAATTTTTAAACAATATTCCAGCTTACATTTTATGTACCTCATTTACTCATTAGTTTTACTTATTTGAATTTAACTTTTGATTTCAAACTTTCAACTAACTTCATAAGGATCCTTTCCTTGCATCAAATGTCACAAATGAACACCATAAATGTCAGATTTTCTGTCTCAAATAATTTTCTCGCAATTATGTAGAACAATTTATACAGCGTCGACGCATTTGTTTTTAAGCTGGTTTCCTGTTATAGATTCCATTCTAATATTTCAATTATATTCTGACCATCAACAAATGATAATAATTTGCCATTTTCACTGCCAACGCAAACCATTTTGTTTAAATTGCTTAAAATTGTAGTTAATTGCTCTCATAATCATAAATCCAAAGACAGTCGAGTGCCCTCCTTGCTTCAATTTTTGGGTGGACGTGCGTAGGCAGATTGGCTGACGTTTATTCTCTTATGTACACTTCCACATGCACACTTGTGTTGTGTACGTACGATTACCTTTTCGTTCTTCTGCAAGTCATTTGGCTGGCAGAATTTTATCAAGCAAGAGAAATATTATTGTGAATTTGGAGTAAAAATGAATTGAATCAGCAATGGCAGAGGTTAAGTGAGCGTATTAAACCCCGCCCAAATGGGCAGTGTGCGTGTGTGTTAGAGTTAATCATTAGCAAACAAAGTTGGTTGGTGAAGGGGGAAAGAAATTGGATGATAAAATCTGATTAGACGTAATTCCCTATGTATACACAACGCCACAACAAGAAAGACCGATGGCAATAATACAGTCCTCCTCCTCCTCCTGCCTGCCACATACGCAGCCACCAAACTCATAACCCCACTTCCAACTGAACCCCTTCTGCAAGTCAAAGTGAGTTGGCTCGGTTGGGAGTTACCGTTTAACGGAGTGAGAATGGGACGCATCGGTGCACACAAATAATTTCGGGGTTCGATATGCGTCGAGTAAAACCCGGGTCACACACGAACGAACCTACACCAAGGGATCAACCGTCCAAAAACCGTGGCTCAGAAATTAACCCTTGTCACTTTCTCCTCCAACAATTCCAGTCCAATTAAACTGGAAGGAGAATTATGAAAATCTGAGTTGTTTTTTTGGAGTGATGATACAAATAATAATGATACTTATGTAAACATCAATTGAGAAGTAGCATTTTAGCTATAAAACGCAAACACCCAATCAGCAGAGATTTATGTCAAAGGAAGGCAGGCAGGCAAAAAAAAAGAATTTACATTTTTATTTTACTGATGAATAACTGTTCATGCACATTGATTTTGACAGCCTCTGTTTCAAATTGAAACTTTCAATGGAATAGCCACTTGTTACCTTTCCACATAATTGCATGCATAGGATCCATTCCAGAACCTTCATTCTTGATCATTAAAACTCATCGTTAAACATGATCATTGTCAAGGAATGTTCATCATCATCAGCCACCCCAAGAAGTCCGCATGCTGCACTTGATTCCAGCATTGATGAGAATTTTTGGGCTGCAAGAATTTGGTTTGGTGGTACTGTTGAATAGTTGACCCACCTGCGGATAAATAGGAGCGTGGAATGGACAGGCTTTGAAACACAGGGGAACGTAATGAAATGAAGCAAGGCAGGTCTCCTCTCCGTTTGTATTGGATTCGACAAGTCTGGTCCATCCAGAAGGAAACCGGATTCCACGGGAGATCTTTCAAACAGATAACACATTCTCCAGCATGAGCATTTAACTCTTTTTAACTGCAAGCATTTAACTGCAAGCATAGCCCACATTGCATTTTTCATTGCTTGGTGGGATCGATTAAGTTAATTTGAAACTTATTTGGGTTGGACCTTACCAAAGTCTGAACCCAGCGTCAAAAGGGAAGAGCTGAAGTCTCTCACGTACATGCAATAAGTAACACAAGAAGGCAAAGAAGGTACGTTTGGAAAAAAAGGATCTGAAGAAAATTCATCTCACAAACCCGTAACCCGAAAGGTATTCTTACACATAAAAATACATATATAACAGGAACACGGTCCGGAGCAATAATAATGTCACTCTTTTGTTCTGTGTGAAACAAATATGGAATTTTGTAGTTAGTTGCACGAGATGAGTTTTCTCCATACGTCTCAGTCCTAAATGGTGTTAATAGCTCCGTTCTACCTCTTTTTAAAAAGGTTTAAAAGCTCATTAGTGGGCCCTTAATTGCTGGGAGAGAGATGATGATGAGAATGAGGAGGAGGAGGTAGAGTTGGAATTAATAGAAATTATAGTCTCTCTGGCCAGCACTGTTTTATGTTATATTTACTGTCGAAACATTAATTTCCATAAAGTCAAAAGTGTCCAAGTAAGTGTTCGTATTAATGTTTTATGACCCACATTAGCAACTCAAGTAGTTCCAACTCCAGTTTAAGTGAAACTTGGATAATAACAATCAACAACAATACTAAATAAAATTATTTGAGGTGTGAGATGCAACAACCAGCATCCCACTGCATTCATTATTATTATTATACATTTCGTTTAATATCCACTCGAGTTGAACCGTTTTACTCGTTTGGGAAAGGAGAGAACAACAAATAACCAACGTCTTCTCAGATCGAAGCACTTTTAAGAAACTCGAAATATGTATAAAGTGTGTTTAAATTAACGAGACAGGGAGGTTTTGTGGAGTGTGAGGATATTATTAATATTTCGTTCCCTTGCCTCAGCTCAAATAGAAATTGTATTTTATTTCCTAATATTATTTTGTTCACCTCTGACTATTATATTTAGAAGCCAAATATACATACATACATGCACACCATCCATTTTAACTTTCTCAAGTAAAACTCTAACAAGACGTGCTGAAGTCGTAAATAGGGTTTATTGTAAATTGTAATGTGGTTGCTGGTGTTGGTAATGTGCTAACAATGCAGCCAGTGTTGAAGTGTTTTGAATTTGTAGACCTTGTCCGTAAATGAGCTTCATTTTCTCGTCAAACTTTATCATTTAGAAGCATCCTTAGACCGAGTGCAATAATAAAGAGCTGGGTCAGAGGTCGGGAAAAAGATTCAACACTTTTTTGTTCTTCGTTCCGTTAAACTGTGCTGATGTCAAAATGGAGATAATAAGGTGGGCGAGGAGGATACACACTCATCTCTTCTGTGGTCTCGGATATTAGGTGGAGATGGAAAAGATTCATGTGGAAGAAGATTGGGATTGAGCAGAGTTTACTTTAGTTTCTCGATATGTAGTTTGGTAAATATTTCTCATGAAATCATTCCAATCTCTTTTTCAAAAATGTATGTCCAATACAAATCTCAGGAACCGTGCTCATCAACTACAAAATATGTGTAACTATTTTTTTAATCAGAAAAGTGTAGCAGACTTGTGTAAAGTATTTATTGACATTATCATATTAAACAACTCCAACTTATCGTCAGCCATCTCACTCTGCCCATTACGCCACGTTAACGAGCTCTCAATCTCTCTCATTTTCTGTAGTTTATTGGCAGAAATTACACAAAATTAAGTCGACTCTTTGTTGGACCCAGTTTTTAGTATGTTGAGCGAAGGAAAAGGGGCTGCCGCACAAAATTACTTATGACCTCCAATTGTAGAAATTAAAAGCAGAGCATTAATTCCTCGTATTTTTCTATCTTCTGCTGGAGGAACCATTATTATGTCACACAGGTTGCAGACCTATGCGTACATATGTATGTAAATACATATGCACATGTAGTGTAGTAGAGTTGTAGTTGTGGAACGCAGTGGCAATTGCTGACGTTTCTCCCAAGCATAAATTGGACAATGATGAGGAGACCTTTACTTTCACATTATTTGGCAGTAATTGAAGTGCTTTCAGGCTAAACCCTATACTTAACCCATTGTTGAAGATTTTAAAAACCACTTTCATTACATAATCTTCAGTCTTTTACTCAGGACTTGAGAACCAGCTCGTTTTTATTGTAATAGGGTTCAATTTTCTTAAGTAATTGTCGTCTGGTTGTTTTTTACAATTTTTTGTGTGGTATTCGTCTATAACCTCCTTTCCGTAAAGGAGGCGGAGGATTATGTTATGTCATATGCCGGATTCATTATCCGTCATGTTAAGTTCACCAGCAGAAAATATTTAAAACTTTTGTGTGTTATCTGCAAAACCTATCTTAAGAAATCCGCAAATAAGTTGAACTTGTAAAGTGTGCCACGATTGAAAGCGAAAAAAATCATTTTCTATAGTTGGTGACTGGCTATATGAATTAATAATTATGTAAAATAACGAAATGTGTGCATGTAGCATTGAATAAATTGTATTGATAGTTAATTTAGCGAATTTAACAAGTTTCTCCCACCTTTGAAGCCAGCGTCGGGTTGATTGTAATAAATAATTGCATTAATGTTTTGACGATTTTCCCACTAATTCAATTGAGTCGTTATTATGAATTAATTACTTTATCGTAATTTGTACTACAACGATTCATGCAGAGCTGCACTTGAGCATACCAACAACTGCGAGGATGAATAGTCTTTCTCTTCAAATTGGCAATTGTTTTGACTGCGGGACACAGGTTAATTGAGATTTTCTTGTTTTTTCGTCAGCAAACCACTTCAACGATTCCAATCCCATAGAGTGCGATGATTCCGACTGAGGAATGAATATCTCATTAAAATCTAACAGTAACAAACCAACAAGTGCGGTGCATTTCGTTTGGCAAAAGTGTCCGTAAAGAGACAGCCGAGGAGAAGAATGTTCCTCTTACCTCACAGTTCAAGTTTTTGTGGCCATCATCATCTTCATCTCGTATCATTACCAAAATGCCTACTTCTACCAATTGACGAGCTGACTTGTCATCCTCCTTCCTATCTCATGCATAATTATTGTAAATTGCTAAATGTCTTCACCATAATGATGTAAAGAAACTGATTATGCTCTCCACGGTGGAGGAGTCGTAGCAATGATTTGATTTGACTCGGTCCGACTTTTACCACTAAAAAACGACTAAATACTTACAACATGGATTTAAAACCAGATTTGATCATGATTGAATTAGAAAAATAATGTTTGCACTTGTAATCTCTCTGAGAAAGGAATCCTGACGTGAAGAGCAAGTCATAAACAAACCAAGAGAGTGAATTGTCTTTGCTTTTTCTTGATTTAATATCATCATTATTACATTAGTCAACCCTGCCTGAGTTGTTGCAATTGTGCGATTAAATTCCCCTCATTCTGAAGCAATTAGTCAACCCCTAATTGCTTATCCAACAAGAAAACTTGTTTCAGTGTGCCCTTTCTCCTCCTCCTCCTCCCTCTGTTTTATCCTATCGAGCCTTGCTCCGCTGATGCAAATGTACGTATATATTTTTTTAATTTCCAAGCAGTTCATCATATTGGTTTTCATTCGAATTTCGAATATTTACAGTTGCCAGTAATAAAACTTGAAAAGGAAAAAAATATGATGGAAAGAAAATTGTTTTTCTACAGTTAACCTGAACTAAAGTGTGGATGCGTAGCATGCTAATGATAAGCAGCCGTCAGGAATAAATTGCACGTTAAAGATGCATTGGCAATCAGAGCAGCAGCAGCAATGCAATGGGATGGGATGGAGGGCATTACATATAATTGGTTCGCTAACTCGTTCGAGTTTTTCGATAATAAAATCTAATTACCCAGATTATCAATAGGATCAGGAGTAATGGTGCTACTACTTACCTGCGCCTACCCTCCATCCAACATGGAACCACTTCTTGTTTTTGTGCAAGCCAATAATTTGGAGAAGAACAATTGAAGGTTAATTTACAATTATGGAGAGAGGGAGATGCGAGATCCCACCCATTCCTCCGCATCAGAGCAGCCACAGCAGCAGCAGCTAATAATTCATCATGAGTTTTTCCGCATACCTCCGCGCACCAATCCACTTATTATTACTCGGCTTGATGATCATGATGATGATGATCACTAATAAAGTGAAGCATCGGAAACGACCCATCCATCGCGGGGTGAGTGACAGGATGTTGAATGTTGATGTGTAATATAAAATCTGTCTGCAAAGGAATTAATATCAATATCACATCACGTCCAATCCTCAATTTTAGCCATTGGCTATCCATTTGTCAGGGGGAGAAGTGTGTAATTTACATATCTAATTGAACAGCTATAAAGTAAATGGATGTTGGAAGTCTTAAATATAGAAAATGTCAAGAGGGGAGATTGATAGCACTAGTAATTACAATTTTTTCAGGAGGAAAATCTCCGCTGCTGGGTCAAATATCTACCATTTACATAAATATACGCCATGCTGAAACTCTGAACAAGTTAGTAAATACACATGCAGTTACAGCGATGCACGTACATATGTAAAGTGACCATAAGCCAAAACGGACAGTTCATATGAAAAGAGGTTGCATATTACTACACGAAGAATGAATAATGATACTTGAGAACCGAAGAACGATTAGAAATTAGGGATGCAGCTCACGTGACTTGGCAGATGAGTCAAGTATCGGATTTTCAGTTAGGTTTCAGTTTGCCAGCGTTTAATAATCATCATCATAAATAGAGATGGAATAATAATTAAGTACCTCAGCAATCTATTCCTCCTGCATTTGTACGTACGTATGCATGCTGACCAGTAATAGTCTTTTTAATTTGAGCGAGAAACTTACAAATTGCATCAATTTCCAATATAAATGCATATTGGAGAAATGCTGAAGTGGATCAAATGCATATTTATCCGAGACGACATATTTATTATGTAGTTGATGATTATGGTGATCGTTTATCCAACTCAAATTATCCTACACAATCTTTATTCGCATTTGGTTGCTGATGATAATCATTAAAATGCTAAATGGACACTACTCACCAAATTACTCGAAACCCATTATACTTTTGTCAGCCTTTATTAACAGGTAGTAAAGTATTGAGTTATAATAAATGAAGCAGATGCATATTTACTACACAATATCAAAAATTGCAAATTAACAAAAAATATATGCGAAGCTAGCAAAAACCTTCAAGTTGTGTTCAATTGTGTGTTGATACGTGAGACGAGGATATTTTATTTATGAGGGTGTAATTGTCAATTGTCAACCTGTTGACTTTTTTTCGCGAGATGTATGCACACTTGGGACTGACTGAGTGATTTTACATGCTTTATGACCATGATTGGACTTTGAGCGTGTGTTTGTTTGGAATGTCTCGTATAATATGTTTCATTGTTCGTTCGCATATGTGTACGTACATGTGTTTGCTGTTTACCTTCCTATCTAATTAATTATACTAATTCAATTAGTCAAGTGCAATTAGTGTCAACGAAATACAGAGAACAAGAAAACAGTTGATCTGGTCCAGATAAGGAAATGAAATCTAATTAATCTTGCCAAAGTCAAAAGTCACAAAATTGTAGAAAAATTCGGTCAGTTGAGCATGATCAAGCAATCCATTAAAGGAACAAGACAATAAGTTCACCACATTTACAGGAATCCACACCCAACCTTCATACTGTGACGATATCTACATATTCCTATGTTGCTATGTACGTATGTAGATATTTGGCTCTTTCTTATAAATAACCATAAAGTGACTGATGCAAGTGAAAATAAGCGTTCATACCTCGAGTGACAAACGTGTACTGTCAATCACAACGACAGGACGGGCGGATGCCCTCATTGTCTTTGAAGCTTAATTTGCATTAAATTGATTAGCTTGGCCGAAGGCTACATGACCACATTACGAGCATTATCAGAATTATTAGTCATTTGAGTTTGATCACCAACGCCAATAATGTATTAAACTAAACTCGACGTACAGTACTTAACTCTCAAATCTGTCAGCGCATGATTGTATCACGAAGGCTTAAACTTAAACTTATGTTGCGTCATAGTCTGAATTAGATAAAAACCTTTCAAAGTTTTGAGCCATATTACTTCTAATGTTTCTCTTGGTTTTTTTCTTCAGATTGCCACATCACGACTTTGCCTGGTCAAGTCCGTGTGTTTCAAGTCCAAATGAATGCAAAGTCACCCTCATATATGTCACATATTGGTCAATCCTAAATGTCACATTAGATTTTTTGTGCCACAAATCCGTCAGTATGTAGATCAAAGGATATTGATAGTTGGATAATTTAATGGGCTGGTTTTACCTTGTACATATGCACAGACTTACATGCGCAGTGCGGCTTTGTCTTTTATTGCATTAAACATTTGTAAAAATAAAGCATCTTGCTGCATACATAGATTTGCATACGGACATACTTCCCTCCAACAATTGTGCATACTATGAGTATTTATATTAGGCTTTGAATTTTGAAGAATTTGTGCACTAAAACAACTCATAAACTAAGAAGCCGCCAAACTTTTTGGCAAAGTTGCTCATCATATTACGAAAATGAAAACCTGAAAGGCATTCAATTCAGCAACTCTTATCTCGGTACCAGCAAACATGAGCATTTAATAGTATCGTAAAATGTCAATAAAATTACAGTCGCATGGAGTTTTGTTTTTAACAAAATAAAATGAGAGGAGCGTACAGCAGCCATACAAACTTTGTTATGTGAGGGGTTGTAAAATGCAAATACTTCTTCCTAGAGGATGAGAGGACTGCATTCAATAAACGCAGAGCAAATTGTTTCATGCTCATTCCACAATTATTCAGTGTGATGAGTTACATCATAACAGCAGACGACGAGGAGGACGAAGAGTGAGTGAGCTTGTGTGGAGCTATCAAGGAGGTTTATTAGATTATAATAAGCATATCAGCAAACCAAGTCATAAAATGCACTTCTCTGAACGACCCAGGATAATAGGAGGACGGACGGACGAAGAAAGAAGTGTCTATTCGAGTGGGACGTGTAATAATAGGATGATAACATTATATTAGTTATAGTGCTTTCTTCGCTGCTACAACGTAGAGATAATGTAACATTTAATAATCCAAGTGATTTTAACGAGTGTGTGTCCCTTCCAAATTATGGTGGGAATTGACTTTGAATAGTTTGATGCTGGTTTTTTATAATAATAAAAGGCATATAAAAATCCCATAACAAGCCCGAAAGAACGGAGAGATTGGTTTTGGTTGAATTTGGTTTATCGTCAACTTGTGTTGTACACGTAGTTATTTACTTATGTAGGAGATAAGAGGTATTAGATGAACGACCGGATAGAGAAGACTAATAGGCTCAAGTCACTTCTTTACAATTTTAACTGGAACACATAGAAAGCCTCACCACCAACCAACACCAACTATTTAACTAACAAGGCTACCACACGTATAAAGGTTTTGGCTGGACAGAAAAGGATGGTTAGTTATGCTGGGTCATAAAATCTCTCTCTCTCTCTCGTCCATGTATTTTATGAGTCTTTAAAGATATTATTATGTGAGTTTTTTCCAGAGTTATGGACTTTCCTTGCGTCCTCCTAACGAGAAGGTATTAGTGAGGTATTTATTCATACGTTTATTTTATTTTATTTTGCTTTATGAACAATGAACAGCTCAAACCAATCTAATCTGACTGCGATATGGTGTGAGTCTTATTAACAAGGCTCGTCTCCAACCAGCAACTAACCAGCAGAAGAAGAAATCAGAGGGCAGGGAGGCAGAGGACGGGGCAAGGCCTCGAAGAAGGAATGCGAAGATGAGGAGGAAGGTAATAAGCAAGTGTTTGGATGTAATGGCTAATGTGTCCATTGGGTTTCTGGCTGGACCTCTCCCCTATTTTTAAACCCTTATCATGAAATAATTTACTAGATTGATTTATGTCCGCCGTTTACATCCTCAGCATTTAATTATACCTCTTCAACTCCTTGTTAGCCACGAAGAAGGAAAAGACGCAATCTCGTATTCCCATATCCTCACATACATACCTGCTTCCCTGCCCAACATGTAGGATCCTTACCTCCAGTACATGCTATGACCCTTTTAAGTATACTATTATTAGATGTGAGATAACTCTCGTATTCTGCCTTCAGCACTCATTTTGGGGAATTTGACCGTATTTTAAAAACTTAAACTTGGAAACATGGGTCTAATAGCCGTTGCCCACACTGCTTATATACATATTCTTAAACCATCACACCTCATCGTCTGAGCAAATGCATTACGTTGGAAAGTATTATGGTCGTGTATTTTGTTTAGTTACATAACTGAGATGGATTGCATCTTCGGATTATTGCAGAGGCATGTATTGGGTTTGTTGCTCAATTTCACTTTCAGAACTTCTAGGTAAAGAATTTTCAAGGAAGGGTTCTCTTACATATGATGAGACATTCTCCATCGAAAACTTTGTTGGGAGTAGAGATTGACAATTTCTAAGAACAGAATGAAACGATGATTGACTGAGACATGACATTTTGCAGATAATTATAGCTATCTAGTAAATTTGGATTATTACATAGTTTTGCGATTTCTTTGAAATGTGCCACAACAAATTTTCAGCAAATGTGATATAATTTGAAGGATTCTAATGAATATGAGATAATGGATGCAAGTCAGTTTAAAAGCAGGTCGAAAAGCAGCTTCTCCACCGCATACAAAAGTAACGAAATTGAATGCTGACAACACTCGACGAGAAAAATGAGTTGCTGCAGAGTGCAAACCGGTTTAAAGTTAAAGTTGGTTGCTTTCCCACCCCATTCCGCATTATTTATAAATTAAGGCACCTTAACATGTTTAAATTACGATCAAAATAAATAAATGTTTAACTAATAATTATCCTCCTCCTCCTCTGTTTTCTATCTCTCTCTTCATCTTACTCTCCACATCATCGCCGTTTCATTCCTCCCAACTTTCAGCCTCTTTTGTTGTTAGCAGATGGTCATCACTTTGAGCCTTGTGCTTCCAATAATAATCCAAATACAATTTGAGCTTGCAAGATCAGATCAATATTAAAGTTTCTCCAAAATGTTCATCTCTTGTGCTGCTAATTTGTTCCGACTTGTATTCACCAAGCATGTATTATTATTGAGCCAGTTCTTTTACATGCATACCTCACCAACAAAGTAAGAGTTTTGTTTGTGGGCAGGCAAGAAGATTCAGCTACATTCTACCAAAGTTAAAATTCTTAGAAATCCAGCTTCACCAATAAAATAACAGCATCATGTCATCCTCGTTCTGCCCACATTCATCCCTCCAACAAACCCATAGATCCAATCCAACTAACAACAGCACATTTTGTTCATGAGCTTTGCATACCTCTTTACACAGAAAAATAAACAAAAAATCTCATCTCCCCATCATTCACATGCTTATTACAATATTAAACCTCTATCAACTCTTAATGGCCTTATTAGTCTTCATCTCTATTACTTTAGTGAAAATTGCATCTAATTTATACTCTTGCAGACTTTATCCTTTATCCATCACTAATACGGAATTAATAATAACTTTAACCTACAGTTTTCTTCATTTAGCCCGAGTCAGGGTCAAATACCACTTCTGAATTATTGTCACATGACCCAAATAAATTAACAAATTGCGGTTAAGATAAAAGTACTTAAGACAATATTATTAATACTTCATTATGAACCATTGGAGTGCACAAAATTTCAGCTTTCTTGCACTATTTTGAAATTTTGGTGCCTAATACCCTCACCGGTTTTTATGAATCCCACCGGTCCACCACTGGACCGATTTGGCTCATTTTCGCCATTAACTCCAAACTTTGCCTAATATACATGCGAACAAAATTTCAAGCCAATCAGTTCAGCCGTTTTGGCTCTATCGTGTCTCGAACGGACAGACATGACGGTTCCATAAGCCATGACTCGCCTAAAGATTCACCTTTGAAGCTCTTCTGCATCTTCCGATTATTCATTCTATTGCTTTTCTTCAACCTGGTACCCAACCATTCACGAGACGAGATTGATACAATAATTTTAATAAAAGTTCACCCTCCTCGATTCATCATCTCGATTCTCGTTTTCTCTCAGGTGTTTACATATTCGAGTTGTAAATGATACGATAAACAGAGAAATTACATCGCATCACATCAAATCTGTTTGGCATTTCATCAATGTCAGCCATTTCGACTTCATTTAGCATTCGGAGGTGCCTTGCATCAGGATTTGCTGTAGGATGGGAGGGCTGGTTGTTTTGTCTGCGACCACATTTTCCCCGGCAGGCATTCGTGCAACGTCTATTATTGTGTGTAATGCAGTGCATGTGCATATGTACATTTCATGTATTGCATAGTAGCCATAAAAGAATTTGTGCAACAACAACTCAAGCACACACCATGGTCCAATAACTTTTTACATAATGCAGTAAGCAAATTATATGGATAAAACCCGTAATCTTGATATGATAATTGTCTACAGAATAAATCAGCCTTAACTGCATGGTGTGCACAAACTTGTCTTTTGATATTTGATATCGTACTTTCTAGAAGAAGAAGTTGAAGACGCATTTCAAAATGTTTATATGCAAACGACAGCGTGGTTTATAAGGCATATTTATCTCCTCTTATGAGATACAAGCAATCCCTGCAACGGCTCCTGCAACATGGTATGCATTCAAATTGACGATACAGCAAAAATTGTCAATTCATAACACATCTACTCGACATCGGTTTATCCTCTCTAGTTTGTTAATTATTATGATGTGCCTTCATTTGGCTGCAATCTGATCATTATTCAAGTTTAACTGAGCTGGGCTCATCATTAAATGTTGGTGAATAATAACAATCAAATTGTCTGACAAATTATTTGACTCTTTGGCTTCTTTACAAAATTTATTGGAAAAATTTCCAAACTGATCAATAATAATGATCTCAATTCTCTCATTCTCGTGTTCGTGTAAATATTTTATTATAAAATATTTACCCATGAATGGGATCAGGTGCCAAAAATGGAAATCAATGGCGTTGAGGTGAATTCATAATTTGAATCAAAGTATGTGCATATGTGCAGACGATTACGACGTGGCGGAGGAAAATGATCTGATTTACATGTGTAACTATGCATATGAAGTGTGTAAATTACAAAAAATGGGTAATGGAATACAATTGGAGGTGTGGCCTAGCTGCAGGACTTGTAATGAGAAGAGCAGGACAAATAAATTGACCACAAAGAAGCAATCCCTTTCTTCATTAAATCTTCGGATGCGTTGCATAACGGGGCTGTGTATGTATGGGCAAGACGAAAAAATCTTTCAGTGAACTTTTGAACGGGAAGATGCAGGAAGGACGAGCTGTTCAATAGTTGTAGTTTGACTTTTAGTGTTGGATGGAAGCAAGAAATATGAAATATCACATAATAATTATTTGTGCCATAATCATAAAAATCATAAAAATAAAACAGGCAGCAGCAAACCGTTTGTGGCATTTTATCGTGAAAATACATGTACTCCTACGTACGCACATATCTACATACATTGGCTTACAACTATGTAGACGTATTCGAATTAGTCTGAGGATAGTCCCGAGATACTTGATTTAAAATGTATCAAAGTGGGACAGTCAGAGGCTTTCGGCCGTAATGATGGTAATGTGTTCAAGACATCTTCACTCTAACCTGAGGTTAAATACTTCATTCAGAACATTATTCATTCACCAAATAAGCATTATTAAACGGACGTAAAAGCCCAATGGGCTTTTTCACTGGCCATGCAGCTTGTGGGCAACAGCTCTTTTCTTTTGATTTGATTGTGTGCAGTAATGTAATTGTGAGTAAACCTTTTGTGGTTAAGAGATACTTTGTAAAGTGTGCATTCGATGAACAATTGAACCATGTACATACACATTTCCTCAACAATGTGCACACAAATTATGGCTTACAAATTTTGAGGGTGATGGACATTTCGTCATGTTGTCTGACATTCAATCGCTGTCCGATACTTTCGCTAAAATGTGAAATGCAGATCAAAATTATACATATTTTAATACTGGTTTGTAAATTAGTAGTTAATAAGTACTCACTTGACCACACTTTTTTTAGTTATGCCGTTCAAATTAGATTCATTAGGCAGTTTTGCAGTCTCTAATAATCGTAATTGATGCATTGATAATAAAATTTTGCAATCAGTTCTGGAATCTCATTAAGTTGTACGCAGCACATATATGATAATGACTTTTGAGAATGTGAGGTGTTGCGTTAAGGAGATAACGACTATCTTTTTTGTTGCTACAATTCTTATTAGTCCATGATCCACCTCAGTCGTCTGATATGTATTAAGATCATTAAAGTTGGAGATGGTCGTTTATTGCACTCTCTCTGCATGCAGTGTTAAGTAGCATATGTTGTGCACATTATACTCTCTAATCGTCCGCCTATATATTTTTTGTATATGCATAAATATGTATGTATGACTGCTTTTTCTTCCTACGACCCTACGAGCCCTGCCCGTATTCGTATTTGTGTGTGCGAATCCTGAGAGTGAACGAGCCTGCAGTCATTAAAATGAAATAAATCGTGGTAGAGCTGGGCAATTAAATTGATAATGCTGGCTAATTGGTACGAGAGGAAATTACAAGAGAGATAGAAATTTATGGCTATTTTGATGAACAAGTTTGCCATCCACTAACCATCCGCAAACGCATGTTCACTTTTATAATTGTTCCGTTCTATTCATTACTCGTCCACCCGGTGTGTACATACACACACATGTGCTGCTCAATCTTATCTTTTTACTTGGTCGTATAATGATTACATCATTTTTAGTATCTTTTAGACTTTTAATTTTTTATTCCATAAATAAGTCTGAGTAATCGAGAGAGACTCAAATGAGCTAATTTTTGACCAGGTTAATGTATAAATAATGCAAGGTTTTCATGTAATTACTGCTAGTATTAAACATAAGGTATGTGTATACACATATGTACACATTTATGAATTCCCATAATTATAACCGTTGATCAGATCAGACTCGTTGGCTGAATTTGTTTGTGTTAAAGAATGACTAATGTGACAGAAAAGGTCAGCTTGGTTGACTGCATTTGAACACATTTAAGTTTAATCTCTTTAAACAAAAACAGTTAAAGATCGTTGGAGAACCCAATTCATCGCGTCAATGAGACGATAAAAGCAAAGGCCTGATCCCACTGTCAACTGCTGGGCTGCTGCTGTCCCCGTTCTCTAATCTCGTTATCACTTTCCATAAATGAAGAATTAACACAAAATAATTCACAAGTAATAAAGTAAATAAAAACTCATTTGCGCCCTGCCCCCATTTTTGACCTGATCCCATCGTCTATTATTCTACACATAATTTTGGTTAATTTAACTAATTTAATGGGATCCAGAGGAACGTGGACCTCAATCTCTACATTGCAATCAAAAACTCATTCCGAGCTTTCAACTAAGTCTTAATGAATCGAATGACATAAAAATTTGGTAAATGACTTGATTCTCAATCTCATCAGGCTGCTATAGCTTAGTTGTTATTGCATGGATTCAGTCAGTCAGCTCATACATTTTGTTTTGAGCAATGATGAGGCAGGGACGACAGGAGTGATAAGAAGACAGATCAAGATTAATGTTCATTTCCAATCAACAAGTAAATAATTTTAGCTCTTCAATCCATCCCAACATTCTTTTTTCTTATGTGCATGTCTTATGGATTGCTAACACGACTCTGAGCTCATGGTTATTTATACATTATTTAGTCATTAACGTTATAAAAGTCGTTAGTGTCATCATTGGAAGAATATTTAATTTATTTTGGGTAATAAATGATCATAAAATTATTAAGAAACTCTCATAATCTTTCTCTCCTTCTTAAGTTTGGGTTGTGACCTCAATAATATTTAAGAGATGCCCGTTT